GGACTCCAGAAAAAGGACCTGCTCCAATTGCTTTATACATTCAGCAGCTTTAGGATCATCAGGAATAAGATCAACTTCCTTCATTGCACACAAGGCCCCGGTTTCTCTGTCATATAATTAGAAAATTTTAACAAAGCTAAATTCAAAAGAACAAAACAAAATAATGGTCACTGCAGAACAGAGTCAAGAGAAAGTAGCACAAAGCTTCCGGGGACTAGCATACCGGTTGGTTGCGAGATACACACTACCAAAGGTGCCGCGCCCAATAAGTTTTCCCTTCTGCCATTGACCTTTCATTGATGATAAGGATAGAGCTTCTGCATTGTGGTGCATAACAGATTGCTGTGGTGGAGGTGGCAGAGGCAAAGGGTGGGCACTGACTTGACCACTACTTTCAGCCCTCTCTAAAGAAGGCAAAAGAAATGCATTTCCATTTGAACTTTTCTGGTTGAAGCATGGACTTCGAGATGTAGGAGAATGGGTGGGACTATGAGCAGGTCTATTTGGTGATAATCTTGGAGGAAAGACATCCAGATTTTGATCGTGGGGAGCCCCAAAAGAATAAAAAAAATCCCCAGCGGTGTTTGATCTCCTGGGGCTAACTGCAGGACTTGAAAAAGCACTTGTTGGAGCACTCCTGCTCATGTTGCAACTTTCATATTCGTGTGGCGTTCCCCTATGGCAGTTGCTTGAACAATTAACGGGTGAAGTGGGAGCAACAAGTAGAGGATAACTATCGACAGTTTTCGATCTTTGGGGACTAAAAGGATGGCTTGATATACCATTTGCCTGCGCTTTCCTAGAAAGAATATTCAGACCCAAGTTAATAAAGAAACCCCCACCATTGTTAGCATCTTGGGAGAGTGCCCCTCGACGATTGTTCGAATAAGAACTCACTGGTGCTGATGATCCTCCTGAGGTTGTGGCAACTTGACTAGAACAAGAACTCAGCGAACCGCCACCATTGTTAGCATCTTGGGAGAGTGCCCCTCGACGATTGTTTGAATAAAAACTCACTGCTGCTGCTGATCCTCCTGAGGTTGTGGCAACTTGACTCGAATAAGAACTCGGCAATGCCGATCCTGAGCTTGTGACAGCTTTACCTTTGACCTGCCTAGTAGTTCAAACAGCAAAAAACCACCCCAGCGATGCATTTTAACAAACACATAGTAAGCACTTTATCAGATACCCACAAACAAAAAATTAATGAATTCTAAGGGCTTTTCTTTTACCTGGGGCCAAAGAACCCATTTTTAGCAGATTCAGGTTTCCGGATCACGGGAGATTCAGGAAGGGGCAAGGGCTGCGGAGCCGGCGCAGAAGACCAGTGGTTTGACTTGGACCCACGACCCGGCGATCTTGACTTTTGGGTCGAATAGTCCGGCGAAGCGGGCGAGGAGTAAGACTTATCAGGGAGGTAGAAATCCTGGTTGTTGATGTGGCGGAGCTTTCTTTGCCGGGTGAGCCGCCGCGGGCTCTGCTCGCAGCTGCCCCCACCACCACCACTGTCCTGTTTCGGAGCAGAAACAGAGCAAGCAGCAGCTGAAGAAAAAACAGGGGAGGAGGAGTTGGAGGAGGGGGAGGTTGTAGCTCTGCAGGGTTTGTGATGAGAAAACGAGGTAGAAGGCATTTGGGCTTTCGAGAAATGCACTTGTTGCAGAAGGCGAAGTTAAAAGCCGTCGTCTTGAACTTGAAGTATCTCAGAATCTCAGATTTCCAAATGTGAAGTTGCGGAAGCGGAAGCAGCAGCGTCGTTTCTCGCTCGCTTTGATCAAACAATTTCGTTTGAATTAAAATTCAAACATTTGGAATTTTTATGGTCAATGACTGGGAAAAAACAAGTACTCGATATAATCCTGCGAATTGAATTCATAATAATCTGATTAGGAGATGACTAAATGCGAGACTTTTGAGGCTGTCGTCGGTGGTGTTGGAGGGGTCGGGGAGTCCGTTAATAAGAAGAAGACGACGACCCAACGAACGGTGTGCGTGCGTGTTTACAATGTCAAAGCACGCGACGACCTTCTCGTTTCCCCTTTTTTTATTTAATTTAATCTAAAAATTAATTTAATTTAATTAAGATTAATTAAATTTGAAAAGCACTAATATTGTTATCATTCGTTGCTGTTTTTGAAGGTAAATGTTTTTTAAGGAAGGAGGACGAAGAAAGTTGAAGATGTTGTTGACCAAAGCTAGGATACGCCGTATGCGTACGGAAAGGCGTAGTTGAGTTGAGTTTGAGGAGCTGAGTGGAGGAGGACTTTGTCAATGTATTTCTGAAAAACGACTTCAAATTTATCATTTTGCAGTCCAGTCGATACCGTGTTTCGGTGTTTACTGTGTTCTCCTTTGACGATTTTAACTTTTTGGGGGAAACAGCCAAACTCGCGTAGGAGAACAATTTATATAACACGAAATTTGTAGTGATTTATTCGTGTCATGTTAGTTGTTTATTGCTTTTTTACTCGTAAATAAGTTAAACTCTTCCAATTATTTAGAGTAATTTATAACGTTGTCTTGTCTAAGACAATTTTTATGTGGCTTTGTCTTTTGAGTTGTGAGTTGGACTGTTTAATGAGTTTTTGTCTTTGATTTTTTTATTTTTTTTTGGTAGAAACTAGGAATGAAAACCAGGGCAAAGATGCCAGAACGTACACAGAAGCCTACAGCGAGGCAAGCTAAAACAAACCAGCAGAAACCAGAGTAGAGGGTAACAATAATGAGTTTTTGTCTTTGATTGTAAAAAAAAATTGTTACGAGTTTATGAGGAAAGTAAAAATTTTATATTGAAAGGCAAGTTAGTACAATTTTTATGTTTGTTTTATCAAAATATATATATATATATATATATATATATTTTTTTTTTAATTTTGAATAACCCTATGCTTTAAATGTTGGTCGAATCACCATTATGTAAGTCTCACATATATTCTTTTTTCGATAGGAAATACACATTTAAAAAGAAAGCAAACAAAGTTATAAAAATCTCAAAACCAATCAGACCGCGCCTAAAACAATAGGAATTTGCCACAAAGGCAAGGTTGTCATTTTCTCATAATCTTGACTTTACCTTTTACAGAATTTTTTTCACAAAGCACTTAAAATTTGTATAGAAACAGTCCAATGTCATGCATGTAAAATATGAGAGATTTTTCAATGTGATCGGCACACAAGGTGATACACTACATGTCACTGTACAAATAGTGGGATAATGTATTAAAAAGTTAATAACTTAAAAAATAAAATTTTTCACCACTTACATAAAAATATATGATGTACCATTCATGTTCCTATCACAATAAAAAATTTCTCGTAAAATAGCTTAATGATGAGTATAATTGCTTGAAGCAATGTGAGAATTGCCGATAGGTTTAGTGTTGGAGTACCAAAACCTCATCGTCGTCAACCCGACAACGCAACAAGCACCCTACACCTGGCAACTGAGGCAAACAACGTTGCTTGACTTTATATACATTGATGCGATTTCGTGTCAAATTTTGGTTTTGAATGCCAGGTACATAAAATAGCCTCCTCCATCCCTCCTCCTCACTTTCTGTCACGCTTAATCATAATATTTCTGGTCACTTGGTAGTCATCCTGCTGTGCTGTCGGGTCGGCTTTGGATTTGCTTATCATCCCCACCTAAAAAGGAGATTTTTGCGGAATTCCTCGCACATGAAATTGAGCACAATTTTACACGGACCATTTGTTTCTTGAGAAGAGGTGAGAAGTATGCTCAATTTCATTTGATTGAATAGTTTGAACAAACTTTAAAAATTTACGCATAATATTTTACCACACTAACTCTATCACTTGTAAAAAAAAAAAAATTTATTTTTCTTCGTTCATATATTCATACGAGTTGCTACTCATGCATGCCAAACTTTAATAATTGATGTCACAGTACTAAAATTCATTTTTTTAATTCTTTCAAATTTCTTTTAGTTTTCTTGCATCTGATATTTGACGTATAAATGGATTGGACCAAAAGTTCACATTGAAGTAGCTAGAATAGTTATTAAATTTGTTATTCATAATATTCGAAATCAAAACATCTCATTATAAGTGAAGAAAAAGTAATACTTGACAATAATATTAAATAACAGCAGTAATAGATCAAAGTTTTAAATACAATTTGTGTTCATCATATTCACACTGGGTTATGTCACATCCTGGCATGGGCCCCACCACATCCCGGACTCGACTCTATCGTAGCACAATATTGTCTGCTTTAGGCCTCGATCACACCCTCACAATTTTGTTTCTGGGAACTCAGACGAGAACTTCCGAGTGGGTCACCCATGTTTCTAGGAACTCACACGAGAACTTCTCAGTGGGTTATCCATGTTTCTAGGAACTCACACGAGAACTTCCCAATGGGTCACCCATGTTTCTAGGAACTCACACGAGAACTTCCCAATGGGTCACCCATCCTGGGATTGCTCTCAGGCAAACTCGCTTAACTTCAGAGTTCCTACAAAACCCGAAGCCAATGAGCTCTCAAAAAACTTCGGGCTAAGTAGATATGGGAATATACATATAAGGCTTACAGCCCCTAGGCGATGTGGGATCGTACAGGTTATCTTTGCCGCTGTATTTAAAACTTGTATTTTAATACAAGTTTTAAACAAATACAATTTAAATACAAGTTTTAAATACAAGTTTGCCTTGTTTGGGTATCTTTGTGTAATTTTAGGATACTTCTTTCCGTTTGGATTCCAACAATAAAAAATGATTTGGGTTCTAGGGGACCAAGATATAAGGGCCATTACGATCCAACATCGGCCATCCGTACCCCAATATGAAAAATCATTTCATTTTGATCCAAGATAGATGGCCCAATAGAACAATTTGCTTTTCTTTTTGCACTCAATTTCGGGGAAAAAAAACGTATTTTTTTATTTAAATTATTTTGGAATATCGCTCAAACCATAAAAAGTATTAATAAAAAATAAAATTAAACCATTAAATAATAAAAGTATTGAGATATCGGCCAATACCAGTATTCGTTATAATAATGATTAAACCAATAGAAAAAATTAATAATTAATTTTGAAGTTGCAGCCAATTTATGTCATTGCCACATTGGAGTTGGCATTTCGGTTGGAGAACATTAATATGGTTTTTTTTTTACTGTTATAATTTATGTGGACATTTTGACATCTCCTTTAGAGATGCTCTTAAGCAATCAGATGGTGAAACCGGATGACCCAGTTACCATTCGAATTTTCGTTCAAAAAATCCCCATTTTTCTATTGGTTTAATTGTACAACTAAAATCAAGGGTTTTGTGCATGTACAAATGGATGTTCAAGTAGCTCAGCAGCCGATGGTCTCTTGGCAGGGTCCCTCCGAAAGCACCAATGGAGGAAGTCCTTTCCTTCTGCAGACAATGTTTCGGGAATATCTGGGATTCTGTTCAGCATCTTGAACATAACTTGAGGCTGACAGATTCAAGACAAGGAGATGTTAAAAACCAATAAACATAATCTGACTCACACAGACTCCTCTTCCGTCAAGTCATCCTGTACGCGCATAGATTAGCTGCATATTTATCGCGTACAGGATGACTAAAGCGGTCATCTTTATTACAACATTCGAAAAATCATTTTATCATTTACTTACTCCTGTACATTCACTCCAAGGAGGTTTTCCAGTGAACATCTCAATGATGGTACAACCCAAGCTCCATATATCAACGGCCAAAGGTAAATCAGGATCCGCGTTGTTCTGCATTGCAGTCCTTATGACCTGCACAAAAACAAAAGAGGCGTCAGTAATCTATGTGCGATGTACATGCCATCCGAAATGTATAGATAAAGATAGTGCAATTACCTCAGGAGCCATCCAGTTCGGACTGCCCTTCAAAGAAACATTATCTGATTGCCCATTGAGCTGAATTGCATCAAACAAGTTGACTTTTCAAAAATAAATTCTTCAAGAGATTATGTTTACAGACATTAAACATGATATGAGTTTGCGGAATTAATTACTTACGTGTTTTGCAATCCCAAAATTGACAATTTTAACAACTCCTGATGCATCAAGACGCAAATTTGCACCCCTTACATCCCTAGAACAATCACCGAATCGGAACTTCATTCAGTAAAGAAAAGTATGCTTATGATCAATCAAGAATGCAACATGATGCTAATAAAATAGCACTGTATGAAGTAGGAAGCATTATTCTCACCTGTGAATTATCTTCGTGCCATGCAGAAAGGCCAGCCCGGAGAGGATGTGGCGAGTGAAATTGCGAACTACAGATTCCGTCATAGCTCCAATATGGTCTTGGACATATTTATCAATGGCTCCGGGCCGAATATAAACATACTCCAGATATATGCAGAAGTGATTATCAATCTACATTTGCGTAAAGAATGCTCCCCAAGTTGAGTAAAACTGGCACAGATTAGTTTTCAGTAAATGTTCACATGTCAGAAAGATACTCACTACTTCGCTACCATAATACTGCACAATATTTGGATGCTTCAGTGTACGGAGGATTTTAATTTCCTGCAAAATATTCGGTTGGTCCAGTTAAACCTCAACTGAAGGCAGAATTATTAAAATAACTGCAACTCCCATGTGAATTTACAAAAAATAAAAAAAATAAAGGACTCCAGAAATGGACCTGCTCCAATTGCTTTACACATTCTGCAGATTTAGGATCGTCAGGAATGAGATCAACTTCCTTCATTGCGCACAATGCCCCGGTCTCTCTGTCATATGACTATAAATTGTTAACATGTTCAAAACAAACTGTCAAATTGTCAATGCAGAACATACCGGTTGGTTGCGAGATAAACACTGCCTAAGGTACCCCTGCCAATAAGTTTTCCCTTCTTCCATTGTCCTTTAATACATGATACTGGTAAAATTTCGGCATTGTTATGCATGATAGATGACTGTGGTGAAGGAGGCAGAGGCAAGGGGTGAGCACTGACGCGACTACTACTTTCAACCCTCTCAGAACAACTCTCTGTGACTGCAGTTCCATTTGAACCTTTTGGGTTGAAGCGTTGACTTCGAGACGGGGGGTTGTGAAGAGGAGAATGACCAAGACTACGAGATTGTCCCTTTGGTAATAACCTCGAAGGGAATGAATCCTGATAGTGATCTTGGGGACCCCCAAAAGAAGGTAAAGGATCTGCGGCCGCATTTGTTCTTCGGGGGCTAACTGGAGGACTATAAAAACCATCCAGAGTGTTTGATCTTTGTAGGCTAAAAGTATGGCTTGAGATATCATTTGCCTGAGTTTTCGTCGGGAGACAAAAGTTAAAACAACCCCCACAAGCATTTTCATCTGGATGAATGCAGCTGGAGAAAGAAGCCAGCGGTACTGATATGGAGGTTGTGGCAACTTGATTTTCACCCTGCCTTCACAAGGCAAAACACCAACCCTTGTGTAAGAACACATAGTAAACACTCACAAATACCCACAAACAAGAAGAACGTGATGAATTCTAAGATGGACATAAAAAGGCTTCTACTTTACCCTTGTTTAGGAACCCCGTCCGGTCTCTGAATCAGCGAAGATTCTGGAAGGGGCAAGGTTTGTGGAGCAGCAACAGGCCCAACACCCCAATCCAGAGAGTGTGACTTTCGGATTGAATATGCAGGGAAAGTGGCCGAGGCGCGAGAACCCAATTCCGGGTTGCTGTGGCGGAGCGTCCGCCTTGGGCTCTGCTCACAGCAGCCGCAGCCACTGCACTGTTTCGAACCTGAAACACAGAAGAAAGTAGAAGAAGACATCTGGTTGATTGAGAAATCTAATGTTGTTGTTGCTGTTGTTGCTGCTGTTGTTGGTTGTGACTCTTGATTGCTGTTGTTGGTTGTTACTGTTGTTTGCTGTTCAAATTAAATTTAAAGACTTTGAATTTCACTCGTGATTAGTTCACTTTGTTCGTTGAATTGAATTCAAAACTATGGAGTTATGGTCAATAGCAGTCGGCTCAAAAAGGACAGACCGAGGTTGTCGATGCCCTTCTAGTTCTTCTTTTAAAATTTTGGTTACCTTTTACCCGCTATCTCAGCCAACGGTCTTTAGTCTTCACACACGTTTATTACTTTCATTCTTTGTGGGGTCAACAATGCTTAAGAAAAACGGGTAACGTGTTGTGTAAGAGAGAAACTCAACAATGTCATGCTATTAGACTATGTCTTGATCGTAAGAAAAAAATTTAGAAGGATCGTCTGCTTGCAGATTTGGATATAATCAAGTAAATTAAACAACAAGGCTTAAAGCAATAATCAACTGACCGCATTGTTTTTATAATTTCCATTATTCAACTAATAGGTTTTAATAGTGCGGATTGGCTGAGCTTTAGATGAAAGCAGAGGAAGATGTTGGTTTGGTGCAGTTTTGTTATTAATTGTTCTTGCGGCTAATAACATAACACAAAATAAATATATATAATGAATTAAATTCCTGATTCATCGCCGGTTTAATATTTTCAAACTAAGCATCGAACCAAAATTAATAATAATAAAACTGCACCAAACCGACCTGACATGTGATTAAAAACAGCGGTTATGGCAATTATTCAAATTTTTAATTAAGAAAAGACTATCATTTAGTACAAACTGACGTCTAATTTTCAAGTGGACTAATAATAGATTTTAAGGCCCAAATATTCACAATTGAGGCCCAAAGGCCCAAACTCACTACGTCCATTTTTGCTTGGAAGAATTTTTTTCAAAGGCCCAAATAAGCCTCTCCAAATGCTTTCTTCTTCCCTTATTTTTCTCATTTGCACAATAAAATATTAAAAATATTTAATTGTTATAAATATGTAAAAGTTAGAGAGATAATCATAATCTTTTAGTGAATGGAGCGAAGCATGTGTAAAATATCACACTAAAACTATAGTACAAGAGGATAACAAATAAAAGACAGATGAATAGATGATGTTATTGATCTTCCTTTCTTTCTGTCTATCTATTTGAAAGCATACGGAGTGCTCTATTTATAGAGCAACTCAAATACTGATGCATTTATTATACATTGAAAATTTACAGCACCCTTTTGGAAAATATGATCTCCTGCATCCCCAAAATCAATTTCAATCTGTACGAGCATTGAAAATGTGTGTGCGTGGGCATTCATAACAACGTCAACGTTTTCAACATTAATATTCATTTTGAGTATGTTCTCATTTTTCAGGGGAAATCTGGATGCCAATTCTCAATCAACATGATACTCTTTGGATTCTTTTAGTGTGGATTCTTGAGATTCGTAAATTGTGTCCGTTTATTATATATCGATCATTTTTTATCAAGTTTTATTTTTAATTATAAATAAAAATAGTTTTTGACCGTATGTACGATAAATGAATAGAGTTGACGAATCCCTTCATCTTCACACTCACAAAGAGGATCTGGCAAGCATGAGGATTCAATTCCGAGGACCAGTGGAGCAGGCCTATTGTCAATAATCCAGAAAACATTACCCCGCCGAAATCGCATATAACCAGACTGTCGGAAACTCTGAGAAAACCCACCAAAATTCAACCGCATGACCGCGATCATCATACGCTTATGAAGGCGCTTCGTCTTCTACTCTCCATCAGCAAGCCAAGTCCCTCACTGTTGTTCTCCCAAAGGCTCTCCCTTTTCTCTTCAGCCACTAACCCTAGTTTTTCGAATTCCTTCTCATCCTCCGACGACGGCGACGACGAAGAAGGCAGCGGCATTTACCGAAACAAACTCAAGTTCCAGCGTCCGAAAGCAATCACGCGGCGCCGATGGGAGGAGAGTTTGAATTTGGGGAACTCTTGTAGCTTTATCGGCACCGTGACTCACCCCCTTCGGGTCGTGAACAACAACGGCGGCCCCTTTGGAGTTCACACCGGCCTTCGCGTCAGAAACTCCCCGAAATCTGAGAGCAGTTTTTGGTCAGTTAAACTATCTAATTTCTTTCCTTGCTGGCTTTAATGAAATCAAAATATCTCTGTTGGAATTGCAATTTAAAGTACTATTTCTTGGAAAATATGGGCAACTCGAACCGGTTACAAACTTTTAACAAATAATTGAGGCGCGAAACGGACGGTAAATGGCACTAAATCGTGGTTGATATACGGCTCAATGTCTGTTTAGCGTTCATCTAGTTCGGTTTTTGATTAAAAGTTTGTAATCGGCTCTGTTTGTACATATTAAACTAACGGTCCTTTTGGAAGTATTTATGCTCGTACGCGCTTTTGGTAGAGGCATGGAGGATTAAAAGTCACTAGTATCTGGGTGACCCATTTACCATTAGTGCAAGACTAGTAATTTATGTGGCTCCCCTATTTGAAACTAGTGTTTTAGGGATGAACTTTAATCGTACAATTTGTGATGAAAGGTTTCATCTTTGTTATAGTTGTGGCCAATACTTTTATTTAGGTTTATGTCTTTACGGTGATTGATTCCAATTTTACAAGTTTGATAGTACATTCAGTTGTATTGGAAACACGGAGGAGTTGGTCCCCAAATGTTGATCTTTGTTCGTGATACACGCTTCTGTGTTGAAGTTCTTGATGGGATGTGTTGAAACTTAGCAATCTCATGCAGAATTTCTGAACAGGATATTGCTGAAGATGTGGGAGGAGATGGCAGAATTGTCCGTCAAACATTTGAAACCGAATGATTTTATTTATGTGTCCGGCCGTTTAGGTTCTTACACGAAGGCTGACCAGAATGGGAATTTGAGTATGCGTTATAAGGTTAGAACATTGCCTCTAGCTCTTTTCAACGTTTTTTTTATTCCTTTTTCACAAATTTGAACCAGGATCACTGGATTTTCGTCGTAGTTAGACGTGAAGGAGTTGAATTATGTATCACAACGTGGACACGGATTGAGCTCCAAAAATCACAAGGAACCACAATGCATTGAAGGTACTGCATGTTACAATGTCTCATGAAGTGTTGCTTGCTATCTTGCAATGTGTTTGGATTTGATATTGCCGAGATTTTTATATGCTTTCGTTGAATGTTTTATCCTCCTAACTTTAGGTGGAGGTGATTTGGACAAGTATAAGGACCGCCTTCACTTGTGGCAAGTGTTTTTTAGCAATCCATATGAATGGTGGGATAACAGGGAAGATAAGAAGAATCCGAGACAACCAGATTTCAAGCACAAAGATACAGGCGAAGCTCTTTGGCTGATGCCAAATGATCCTCCATGGATTGAAAAACAACTCCAGTTGCTTGATGAGAGAATGCCAAAACAACTACGCGGCCAACGACATTCCCGCATTTCTGAGTGGCAGTACGATGAGTAGGTGCAGGCCTTGAAGTAACGGATTGTTATATTGGGGCCTTACGACAGACATACTTGTATCGAAGATCGATTGAATATTGAGTTTACCATGTTCAGATATGATTCGATTGTGCATCTAGGTCCTTTAATTTATCTTGTCTCTAGTTTGTTACATGGATTGCATGTTCGCTTACAGAATCATACTCATAAGCATTATGGAAGAATACATACAAGAAACAATAGGGTGAACCACACATTGAAAGGGCCTCGGGAAAAACCTTGATGGAGATTTCTACCCGGGCCAAGGAGAAAAGAGTATCGCACACCAAAATTACATGGAAAAAAAATATACGATCATCCTCAAAGCAGAAATGTCCGTTTCCTTTTTTCTTCCTTTCCAACTATATGTACAACCAAGTATGGGGCAAAGGGAAGAGGCAATGGCCTTTTCACAAGGATTTTGTTGTATATAAATTATGAACAAACCCTCACATCATGTGCATAAACAGTTAAAACACAACAAATTAAACCTGCTCACGGTTGATAAACATGTTCTGATGTATTTAACAGGTAGATCATAAAATTCCTCATTTGGAACATCTCCACCATGCAATTCCTCTGTCGTCAACTGCATACTTTGCGTCAAGCGTGTTATCCAGCAGCGTCCCCACGATTATCGCCACTGTCGGGCTCGATGACAAGGGGGTGTCATCAAATTCAAACTGCAGCCATCGAAATGATGTAGCATTTCAGATAAACGAAGCCAACAATAGTACACGTAAAGAAATCCCGACACCGTATGTAATAATTGCTCAACTTACCCATCCACCGTCTGTTTTAACTGGCCCGACACCATTCGCATTTGCTATCGAACTGGCTACCTATGCACGAATAATTTCCTAAAAGCGCGTCATAAATGAGTAAAATGTGCACGGGAAGTTAAATAATCATTACTAATTTGATATATAAAATATATACTTGTGTGTGTGTGTGAAAAGAATTACCTTTCCGAAGAAGATTAATATATATGCTTAGCTCGCGAGTCACTACTTGATCCACATTACTTATGTCCTTTGAACATCATCTGAATTCTGAAGAAGAAAAATAAGCAAATTGAACAAATACGATGACATCATTTGTAACTGATACAACGATAAATGTGTAAATAAGATAGAGCTCAATTACCAGGATAAGATTTTGATGTTTGGGATGTGAGAAATCTTGGGCCATTCCTCTCCACTGCCACATTCACAACGCTTAGAAAGTGTTTGACATTCAAAGATGAAGAGTTCCTGCAGCGGTGTTTTGCAGAGGAAGTCTGGCAGTGTTTTTAGAAGAGGACAACGACTAATGTTTAAGGAGGAAAGACATGGCATGATTGACATTTCAGAATCCTCTTTGTTCCACCTTTCCATGCCTACTTCCCACTCTTCCAACGCCGACATGTAGCCAACTGCGAGCTTTTTCAACTTTGGAAAAAAATGAAGATGATGATGATGATCTAAGTGACGTTTCATCTTGGTCCACAATCCCCAAAATTCACCACCAACCCTTTGCACCTTGTGCATTCTCGATATACTCAGTTTTTCAAGGTATGGCAATCTCCCAAGAGGAGGCAAGCATCCACTCCATTCAAATAGACTGATGATTCTTAAGTTGTGCAAAGACATCATCCAATTGGGGTAGGTGGCGCCTGAATGATAAGAAATGTATAAAGATTCCAGATTTTCGTGTGGTCGTAGGACATTTAGAAATTCAACGGTGCTTCTGGCTTTCTGATTGTATTGGACAACCTCACAATTAATTCCAAGATGAAAGAGTTGCTTCATGTGCCACAACTGTGCCTTCTCAAGCTCATTCTCATCTTTCACATTCCCCTTCAATATTATGTGTAGCCTGCCTTGGAGGTTCAAGACTCTTAGATCTCCCAATTGTAATGCTACTCTGTCCTCATCGTTGACACAAACCACAGCACACACATCAATTGTTTTCAATTTCTTTAATCTCCGAATCCCTTTTGGCAAGTACTCCAGCTTAGCACAACCATAAACATAAAGTTGCTTTAAGCTAATCAACTTCCCCATGTTATCAGGTAGTTTTTCAAGTGACAAACAGCCAAAAAGGCGCAAGGTATACAAATTGTACAACTCACAGATACTGTCAGGCAATATCTTCAAACCACCATTCCGTGACAAATCAATATGCCTCAAATATATCAATTCACCAATTTCCTTTGGGACTTCACTTATGCCATTATTACTCAAATGTAATGTCCTAAGACATTTCAATTGTAAAATAAAATTTGAGTCTATCGTCGTAAGAATGGATGAACAAATAATTTTGAGTGTACGCAGATTTTTGCAATTGTAATATGCTTTAGAAGGTGGGAGTGGCTCATCAAGTCTCAACCTTAAAGTCAAATGGCGAACTTTTTCACCCAAAACCTCTATTTCATTGCCAACACCCTCAGCGTCAATAATCAAACATTCATTCTTGGTTAGAGATTGCACAGAGTCATGAACAATATCATGCATTTTGCAACCTATAATTTTACCACTGACACTATCTTTCACCAAATCTTGGAAAAAAGATCGTGCTACTAAGTTATCAAAAAATGCTTCACCAATTTCTCCCTTATCCTTATTCCCTTTTGAATTAAAATAATCTTGTGCCATCCAAATATTAATCAAATATTCTCTCTCAAACTCAAAGTCTTTAGGAAAACTAGCACAATACAAAATGCAACATTTGATTGATGGATCCAAATCATAATAACTTAGTAATAATGGTTGAAAAACTTTTTGCTCCACCTCTTCTTGATCCCATATCTTACTGTTCAAAACACCTAGCCATTCCCTCCTTGTTCTCTTATTGTGCATGAGACTGCCTAAAGCTTTTGCTGCAAGAGGCAAACCCTTACATTTTTCTACAATTTTCTTACTAATATCTTCAAATGCCTTAGATTCACCTACTTCTTTATCAGCAAACGCCATGTGGTTGAAGATTGATAAACAATATCCTTCGCCCAACTCTCCCAAACTAATCATGTCACTTGTTGCTCTCATCATATCAACAACCTCATGCTTTCTTGTGGTCACCAATATTCTATTGCCATGAGCACCACTTTGGATTAGCGGTGCCCTTAATCGTTCCCATTTTTCACTATCGTGGCCCCACACATCATCTAGGACAAGGAGAAACCTTTTACCCTCAATGGATCTTGACATGCACTGCAAGACATAGTCCAACTCATTTGAACTTGGGGCACCATCACCACTTATGGATTTGGCAATCTTAATCTCATCAAAAGGGTCCGAGACACAAACCCACACTCTCTTTTCAAAATGGGCTTTAACCTTGCTATCGTTATAAACTAGTTGGGCTAGAGTTGTCTTTCCCATTCCGCCCATCCCTAGAATAGGGATGATAAGGAGTCCCCTCTGATCTTTTCCACCATCACTCAATAACTTTGTTATCAGAATGTCTTTTTCCTTTTCTCGACCAAATACCTCTGACATGACGACAAAAGACGAAGTCTTCTGCCATTCAGGTAAATCTTGAATACCTCTTTATATGTGTTGAAACTCATACCTTTTTCTTTGCTCATCAATCGCACTTAACCTACCATTCAGATCTTTTATCTTAAGGGCAATGTCACGACGGAGAATTACCCGTCTGACTTTGCCAAAACAAAAGCAGCTAGGGGAACCAGAGAGAATTACCTTCTTCTTCTTCGTGCTACGAACAAGAGCATCTTCACCTTCTCGTTCTTGCTTCTCAACTTGTTGTCTTAGCATGTCAGTGTTCCACTCGTCCAGCACGTCCACCATCTGGAAGGATATGTCTTTGAGCTGATCCAACCAGATCCTCACGCTAGCCTCCTTGACTTGCCTTTGCTCCGCATCTTCGAGAACGACTTGAATGGCTTTGACAGTGCCAGCAAATTCTTCAATATCTTTCTGGGCTTCCAAAACATACTTCACCTCTCCGTCCACATATTCATAAGTTGTTGAAGCCAGCCGATTCAGTAGCATGAAAATGATCCCGTCGGTCATTTTTTCAGCATTAGAAATTGGTTAACAGTGGAAAAAGAAATGATGAACAAGAAATGCAGGATGGTTTGGGGCATTGCCTCTGTTCTATCCAGCCTATATGATGATTCCAATTTCCAATTCATCATTTTTTTTTTCGTTCAGTCAAGTAAATTGAATGGTTGTTGAGCTGTCGTATTCTGTCCTATTCATTGACTTGGAAATCTTTGTTTTGCACAGGGGATTGATATGTGTGGAGCCAAAAATAATCACAAGGTGACACATGGATCTTTGGATAAAAAAGGATAAGAGTACCCTTAAGGCACAGTGGGATTCCTACGCACGAATAGCGGAGAATCATCTTTCAACGAAATCAAAAATGCTCCAAAAGAGGTAACCAATTCAAAGTCCATCTCATCAAATCCCCTTTTGCAAGGTAACCTACAAAATAATGTTAATTGGTTAATTAATAGATTAATTACCCAATTAATCCATTAAACATCAATTAAATTACCCAATTAATCACAAAATATATCCCATTCACCCTAAAAATAGGTAGTGGCCGGCCACCTCACATTCTTCTTAGTCTTTCTTACTTTTCCCCATTTTACTACCCCATTTATACAAATAAATAATTTTATAACCTCTCATTTACTTCTTTCATACTTAATTAGCCAATAAATTGGCTAATTAAGCCAAAATCATAACCACAAAAACCATCAAGGCCGGCCACACCAAGGGGAAAAATGGGTAAGCTTAATCCTATAAATAGGCACCTATTCTCACCAAAAATTCATTCCAATTCTCTTACAAAAAATCTCAAATACTCTAAACACTATTTCTCTCTAAAATTTTAACTTTGGCATCGGAGATTCTTCGGCCAAAGCTCCCCCATTCATCGTGGGCGCGTGAGGCTTTTGGCCTTAACCTAAGGTACTAGTTGTTTTGTAGGTGCAAAATTGTCCAAGATCGAGGAGGAGAAAATTTACATCCACAATATGTATTGCATATTAGGTGAGGTGAGGGAGCCAATCTTCCATGCAAACAAGAGGACTTGTTAGTAAGGATAGGTCAAATGAAATAAGAGAAAAATGTTAAGCTAATCACCACTTGCAGGGTTCATGTTTGCAAAAATCGGTTTCTCCTTGCTCCGGTGTCATCGTCCTTTTTCTTTTATTTATGCATAACACAGGGACACAAAAGTAAGTGAAATATCAAAGCAGCTGAGATCTGCGGGTCAAATAAGACATCAAAATACATGTGGTTTTACACTTTTACTGTTCTACATAAGTTTTTTTTTTCGAGTAAAATACACAAAAAACCGTGATAGCAAATGATATGTAACTTTATATATAGTCTCCAAAATTAGCCAAACGAGTATTGAGATAGAGAGAGAGAGAGAGAGAGAGAGAGAGAAATGGATGGGTACCTGATTTTTCCATTCTTTTTTATTTATTTGTTCAATCCTATGATTTGAAAAAAAAAGATAAATGTGTCGAAAAATTATTGTTCTTTAGTAAATGGCTGCATGACAAGGAAGAAAGGTTCGCCTGAACGATATAAATGTGTGTCCACAGGGGAGCGGGGGTGTTCAAGTTGGTGTCCACTGCGATCAGCCTTGGTCAGCGGTCAAATTTCTTAATAGGTTGTATTGAGCGTCATTCATTTCGTTCGGGATTCTACTAGCTTGAGGAAGGCCCCTGATATGATTTACTGTGACATTTGTTCCTTTCAGCCTATGGGTTTCAGTCATTAGCTTAAAGGCCCCTCATGGCATAGATTTCTGGCCTCATATTATCCTCATTATCATATCATCTCAACAAGTCCATTTTCTAATTCTAAGAACAAGCATTGTATTGCATATCATAATTAACATAATTATGTTTATGGGGTATTATGCGATGAGGTTGCGAGTTTGGATAATGGATGAGGAAGAAGTGAACGATATATTTTACATTAAAAGAAGATGGGAGTTCGGCTAAGCCACATAATGACAAATCTAATTTGGTATCGAATTCGTCATCTACGAGATTCGCCATCGACAATTTATATTTAAATCAGTACAGTTTGGTTTCAACTGATTTTTGGGAAGAAAGAACCAGAACCTAAACTGGGCTAAACCGCTTCGGTTTGTGGACCGGTTTTGAGTTTTTTAGTCAATATAGTTTTTTTTCTTATTTTTAAACCGTTCGATTCAGTTTTTCGGTTCCATGGCTTTTACTTGAGAGCTATTCTACTATGATCAAACAACCTTATTGGAAGGAAAAATTTTTTCCCCCTTTTTTTTCCTTTTGAACAAACAATACTATTTACATTAAGAGGGTGGGCGAGTAAGTTAAGCCTCACACTAAGCTAGCCATATAATGTGGTTCAAATATGGCTTTGGCGTGAATTAAACCTAAGACCTTTCACTTACAATTAAAGATAAATAATGTGGTTCAAATATGGCTTTGGCGAGAATTAAACATAAGACCTCTCACTTACAAGTAAAAATGAATACCACTAGATCGTAAAACTAAGTTACTTTTTTCGTTTTTTTAGTACATCAATATTTTTACACTAGGGGATGAGGAGTTCGGCTAAACTAAACAATGGGAAAACTAATTTGCTATTGAATTCGCCATCCATGAGATTCGAACTTAAGATCTCTCACTTTTAAGTGAAGAAGAATATCACCAGGGCGTAGTAATGAGTGACTACTTTTTTCATTTTTATGTTTGGAAAAATGAAAAGTACATCCACTTTTCTGCTTTAATGATACTCATTCAAATTTAAATGCTTTAAAAATGGTTTAAGAATATGCGGAGATTTCTTGCTCATATTGTACGGCACCTCCACACCCAAAGGCAAATTAGTAACGCTATTCGATGCTCCCGGGACCCGGCCCCTCTATGAAATGAAAAATGGTTTAAGAATATTATTAACTTTCTCACCATTATATAAGAGTTCATGTGTTTCTATATGATAATATCTTCTTTTTTTCTTTTTTACAACAACTTATAACTTGCAACCCTCACATTCTACAAACAGAGGAAATCTTGAATTTCTGGTAAGCTTCTTACTTACTTACTTGAGTGTTGGGGTTTGTAATTTGAAAATTTTGATTTGATTCTCCATAATAGGTCCTTTAAATTTTTATGCAGACTACCTTTGACGGGTTAATTTCAACAAGGAAAAAGCATTAGAGTAATTAGCCCACAACTCCAAGTATGTATTTTACTCTCTCATATCTCTTGCAAATTATTTGTTTAAATTATGATTTTGTTAAATTGATATATTGCAAAAATTTTAATTGATTGTCAATTTTTTTTTAATTATGATTATTGTGAATTTTTGGGCTAATATTATATATTATTATGTTTTTGTTAGTAGTTTTGTAGAATCCTTTTATATATTTTTTTAAACATTTGTAAGAGATCTCCCATCACATGAAATCCTCGCTTAACCACTAGATTAGCCATTAGTTTTTTTATGGAGAAATTAGGTTATGATCCATCATTTTTCTATTCCATTAATTGTAACTTTATTCCTTTTCAATTTTTGATCAAGATCCTTTGTTTTTTATCCATGTTATTATGAAATAAAATATTTACATGTTAGTATCTGTGAATTTAATAATTTGTTCTTCAATCAAGTATTCAAATTAGTGCTTTAAAAAAAAAAAGTATTCAAATTAGTAAAGTTTCAGTCTAAGATTTTGGTCAACTAGGGACCGGAACCAAAATTTGACTTTTTTATTCTTATAAATCAAGCAAGAACTAATTGGATTAGAAGGAATCAACTACCTTCATAACTCACCTATATTTATGGGTAATGGTAGGGATAATAAATTTCTAAATCAAATTTTGTAAACCAAATGATAATGATGTGGATGTTGATGATTGAATTATTATTTTGATTAACGTTCTTGTTTTCTATTGGTGACACATCATTTGATTTACAAATTTGGTTTAAAAATTTGTCTTCCCTAACATTATCCTTTTATATTTGCAAGAATAGTACTATAATTACCCTGATCAGTAATATGATAGTAAAATGATGAAGATTTGTTGATTGTTATGATGGCAACTCAGTAATATGTAATAATCATCATTCTCTTGTATTACCAATCACAACGGCATATCATTATCAGGAGCTGGGAAATGGAAACAAGCAATGAAACTGCTCCGAACGACATAGAAAACCAGTACACCCCATTAGCAAATTCGATGAGAAAAGAGTTCACCACCCTGTCTCCCGTGTCCTCTTCATGTTGTATCTACAGAGTTCCTGAGCGTATACGGTGCGTGAATGAAAAGCTCTACACGCCTCAGGCTGTCTCTATAGGCCCGCTTCACCATGGCAGGAAAGGCTTAAACCCCATACTGGACGAGCACAAACAGAGATACCTGAAAGATTTTATAGCTCGGACCAAAGTAAGCTTGGAGGACCATATAAAGACAATAAAGAACCAAGAAGAGAGGTTGAGATGTTGTTATGCAGAACCTATTAAGTATAGTAGTGATGAATTTGTAAGAATCATTCTAGTCGATGCCGCATTCACTATCGAGGTCTTATTGAAGGACAAATTCGATGACTTCGTCGACGAAAATGATCGCATATTTCACAAGCCATTGATGTTACATGACATATGGAAAGATATGTGGTTGATTGAAAATCAGCTGCCATTGTTCATTCTTGAGGATCTTTTTGAAGCATGCAAAACTTCACTCCCTTCTAGTTCTCACAACATTACTTCAATAATTAGTCTTTCTTTCGAGTTCTTCAAACATCTACTGCCGGTGGAGAAATTAGATGACAACGTGAAGACTTCTAAATCAGTGGCACATTTTGTTGATCTTTTCAAAAGAGTTTTTGAAATCCATCTTCCGTTGGAACCAAAAGCCGGAGGGGAACTCAAATCTGTTAACATACCCAGCTTGACGGAGCTACAGCAGGTTGGGGTCCAGTTTAAGGCGGCGTCAAGAGAAAATAAGTTTGGCATACAATTCAGTACTTCCAATGGGACTCTGACAATTCCAAGATTTCCATTAGGGTATGAAACTGAAATAATCAGAAACGTCGTTGCCTTTGAACAATGCCATTTCTTGAACACTGCTACTGATACTTTATACATGAGTTCTTACGCATTCTTCATGGGCGGTTTGGTGAAAACCACAAAGGATGTAGAGTTGCTTGTTGAGTACCAAATCGCAGAAGTTGTGAAGGTGCTAGTTAGTGACACAAGTGAGAGGTCTGCTCCATTAAACACCATTTCCACTGGGGTTAATCCCAACTTTCATAAGTTCTATTATGATACTATTTGTGAGGACCTGAACAACTACTGCAGCAAGCCGTGGCACAAATGGAAGGCAAATTTGAAACAAAATTATTTCAACACACCTTGGGCCTCTATTTCTGTCATTGCAGCTGTTGTTCTCCTCATACTTACTTTCATACAGACTGTGTTCTCCATGATCCCTGCTACGTAACCATCAAAGCGTAAGTCTGCAGCTTCACCCATTTCTCCCCAAATACACACATTTCACAAAGAAAGCATATCATAATTTCTCTTCTGACAATAACATCTTGCAGTAGACTCATCTCTTTTTTATATTCATTGACATGCGCCCTCTCTGCGGCAGGAACCTGTGGGTTTTCTAAAATCAGAGAGGATACATGGCAGCATGCTTGGGGTACTCCTTCGAATTTAAGACCTCAGCATAGAACGGATCCTAGAAAAGCCTGTGAGCGCAGGCACTTAAAATATTAAGTTGTGTGTATCTGTACAGAAGGACGTGATGAAGGTTGTTAGAAGAGCCCTTCAAAGTCTGAATTATCAAATTGTTGATATGTAATTAATGTATCAAATACTTGTTCAAACTTTCACAGTGAAGGAATTCAAACTTCACTTTTCAAACTGTAGGTTTTATTCCCACCAGTACCAGATATATATACTTCCCTCCTTACTTCAATATTTTAACTGGCCCGACACCATTCGGGCTGGTGTTCGAGACAAAATATTGAGGTATTGAAATCCCAAGAAACAGCGAAAGACCCAAAACATGGATGTTTCTCAAGGAACTATTATCTGCAAACTGAATGGATATGATCCCAACAGCAGCTGCAGATAAGAGGAAACAAAGGCGAACACTTTTCGGTGACAGAATGATCCTGAGAAGATTAGAAATGGTAATAAACTCATTCACCGACAATTCCAAATAAAATACAGTACATGGCAGCAAATATCGTTTGAAACTCGTACATTTTTCTTTGCTCATCAATCCGATCTTTTATCTTAAGCGCAATGTCACGATGGAGAATTACCCGTCTGACTTTGTCAAAACATAGACGGATAGGGGAAACAGAGCTTCTTGTTTTAGGAACCAGAGCATTTTCACCTTCTCGTTCTTGCTTCTCTACCTGTTGTCTCAGAATGTATGTGTTCCACTCGTCCAACACGTCCACCATCTCGAAGGATATGGATATGGATATTGTTGGAATTAACTAGGTTTTTATAGGAAATTAATTAGAGATTTGATTTGATTTCGCATTAGGGTATTTTGGCATTTACACATTAGGGTTTCTTAGGTTTATATCATTATAAATATAGCTTGTAATTTAGTTTGAAAAACAACTCAGTCAAGATGTACCATCTTTGGTTCATGTAGTCTTCTTGGCAATTTCATTATAATAAAATTTTATATTTAATTAGTTCATTTGTTGCGTACTCAGATATTCAATTGATATGTCTTTGAGCTGATCCAACCAGATCCTCAGGCTGGCTTCCTTCGCTTGCCTTTGCTCCACATCTTCGAGAATGGCTTGAATAGCTTCGAGATTGCCAACAAATGCTTCAAAATCTTCTTGGCGTCCAAAACATATTTAACCTCTCCGTCCACATATTCATAAGCTATTGAAGCCAGCCGATCCAGTAGCATGAAAATGAACCCCCGTCGGCCATTTTTTTAGCCTCAGAAATTGTTAACAGTGGAAAAAGAAATGATGAACAAGAAATGCAGGATGGTCTGTGGTATTGCCTCTCTTCTGTCCAGCTTATATGATTATTTCAATTTCCAAGCCAATCAAATTTAATTTTTTTGGTCAGTCAAGTCAAGTAAATTGAATGGTAATTGTGCTGTCCTATTCATTGACTTGGAAGTCTTTGTTTTGCATAAGGGATCGATATACATTGCATATTTGCATATTAGTTGAGGGAGCCAATCGACCAAGCAAACAAGAGGACGTTTGTAAAAATAGGTATCTCCTTGCTCCGGTGTCATCGTCCTCTTTTTTTCTCTATGCAGTGACACCGGGACACAAAAGTTTCTTTAGTGTCATTCACTATGGAAATGCAAAGATGACTATATACAGAATTAAAGATTCTTTTAATAACCAAAATTGTAAGTCTTAACAGGAATCAGAGTGATACACATCAAAGCAGCTCATACAATGAGTTAGTTTAGTGGGTCAAATAGGACCGTCCAAATACATGTGGTTCTACCATTCTACACAAGTTTTTCTTTCAAATAGCACATAAATTACCATGATAGCAAATGACATGTAACTTATTATTCATTTATTTATATATTTAGGGTTTTATAATCTCCAAAATGAGCTAAATGTGTATCGAGAGAAAGGAGAAGAGAAAAACCACAAAAGAGTTGTTTAACCACGTCATTCATAGGACACCTTAGTTTAATACGACATTATCCCATTGAGTTTGTGACGTAATTAGGAAACCTTGTTGAAGTTTAGGGGTTCCCCCTCAAAGTGGAAATGCCCTTTTCATTTTTCTTCCTTTCCAACTATATTAACAACTATGGGGCAAAGGGCAGAGGCAATGGCCTTCTAACAAGGGTTTTTGTTGTTGAGTCTGTTTGCCATGCCCTTTGGGCTTCTAGGATACAATAGTTCTATATAAATTAATAACAAACCCTCACATCATGTACATAAACAGTTAAAGAACAAGAAATTAAACCTGCTCATAGTTTACAAACATGTTCTGTTGTATTTAATAGAGAAATCTGGTAGGGATGTACTCCCGTATCCTAACAGGTAGACTATAAAACTCTTCATTTCTAACATCTCCTTTCCTGCTCTGGAATGGCCTCCACCATGCAAGTCCTCTGTTGTCAACCGCATACTTCGCGTCAAGCGTGTTATCCAGCAGCGTCCCCACGATTATCGCCATTGTCGGGCTCGATGAGAAGATTGTGTTCAATATGTCATCAAACTGTAGCCATCAAAATGATGTAGCATTTCAGATAAACGAAAACATCAATAAAACATGCAAAGAAATCCAAACACCGTATGTAATAATTGATCTTGTGTTACTTACCCATCCACCGTCTGTTTTAACTGGCCCGACACCATTCGGGCTGGAGTTCGAGACAAAATATTGAGGTATTGATATCCCAAGAAACAGGGAAAGACCCAAAACATAGATGTTTCTCAAGGAATTATTATTTGCAAACTGAATGAATGTGATCCCAACAGCAGCTGCAGATAAGAGGAAACAAATGTGAGCCCCTTTTGGTGATTAAATGATCCTAAGAAGATTAGAAATGGTAATAGAATCAGTCACCAACAATTCCAAATAAAACACAGTACATGGCAGCAAATATCGGCAAAGGAATCGATGCAAAGAAAGCGCCAAACTTCCCTGAAAAACGTAAAATTAACACTGTCAAAACACAATGCGGTAACCCCACGGTGTGACATGTCAAACAGAAGGAAAGAACGAATCAAATATAGAGAAGAACATGAAACCAGTTGAAATCTGCACCACACTCCTGCTCCCTATGTGTGTTAATCCAAGCAAGCCAACATTTCCGTTGCAACACATTTCGGAAAATGAGTGAGTTCATATTCTTTATTAGCAAACTTTCTTCCGTTGATATCCAATATTCTTTGATAGCTAGCAAGACGTTCAACAAATTATCTAAAGGGAATATCAACATATATGTCAAGCAAAAAGGCTTTCTTACACAGAAGCAGTGGTACCGACAGCACCACCAAAAATTCCTTCAAGCAGCATGCCAACACCCTGCATTTGAACATATACAACTACATGTTATTTAACTTTTTAAAACACGTGGTTGCTTCCCGTGTTAGAGTATGAGTATGATTCTTACATGTTTTGGGATAATTAACATTATCATAAAAGAAGTCTTAGTCATGTTGGCAGGAATCCTATTGTGACTAGGATATTGAGAACTCTTGTATTTGCACATAAATAGAACTCATATTCCTTATTGGATTGTAATAGGGCAATCGATATGCTTAGTATATATACATAAGACACTGCTCTCACATAAGAACGCTCTCATCTTTGCACCAATAACCTATTCTTGGGAGAGCATTGAGATTTGAAGAGAGGAGAAGGGTTGTGTAAGTGCTGCAATGGCTTCTTCATCAAGCAACATGTCTGCAGGTTAGTATTCTTTTATGTTCTGTCTATATTTTGTTTTCGTTCTTGTTAATGTCGTGATTTGATCACTTGATTCAATTCGGTTCATAGGAAGAGACTGATTTAGGTTTTGATGTCTCTGAGTTCTTCTAACATGTGGTATCAGAGCCAAAATAAATCTTGTGATTAAATTCAAGTCTGCAGAACACGAACTGCAATTGAGGAACTGATTTGCGTTGGTTTTTTTTTTTTCATAATAAACGACGTCGTTTTTGGACTCAACAAAAAAAAAGGGAAGGAGGCGTTTTGACTTTTGGTATTCTGTAAAGAAAGAAATTCTTCACACAACACCTGGTTTTGTATTCGACTTATCGGTTCTTCAAATCAGATCCAAGTGATAATCTAGGAAACACATCTCTTTTAGATTCATGTTTCAACTTTTACATTCCGCTGCGTGATTTCTTGGATCGTGAATTTAAGGTAATTCTTGACAAGAGTTATTTGATTCTTGAGATTGATTAATGAAGAATATAGTGTTCTCTAATTTATTCAATAGTAGTTAAAAATTGAAAATTTGAATTTATGCATGATTATTCTGCACAGATTAACTGATTTATTTCGTTTATTGTGTTGATCTGTTGGAATTGGAAAACACCATGAGTTATGAATCTGCAGAATACAACGTGTTCATCACTGTAGGGTTGTTTGATCTATATATGCTTTTCAAATTCATTGAAAAGTCTGTATATATGACTAAATTGATTCATTACAGTGATGTGCTTAGTAATTGTAGACTGAAATCAGGAACTTATGGTTCTTTTTTGTGATTTCATTTTGACATGTCTGCAGTGCCTCTAAAGACTCTCAACCTTGCTAGTGTTCCTATTCTCACTGGGGGTAGTAACTATAAAAGATGGAGGCGTGAAATTGGTCTATTGCTTACTCTTAATGAGTTTGATATAGCATTAGATACGCCTAGACCATCACCATTGACCGACAAAAGTACCAAAACAGAGAAGGCTGAGTTTGAAAGGTGGACTAGGGCCAACAAAATTGCTTTATCCATCCTTGAAAGTGGGATGACAGATACTGTTAGAGGGGGAATCAAGAAGCATGATCTTGCTATTGATTATCTTCAGGCCATTGAGAATAAGTTTAAAGAATCTGAGAAGGCAGAGATCAGTCAATATATGTCTATCTTGACAACCTACAAGATTGAAGGTAATGCATCCATTAGAGATCACATCATGAAGATGTCGGATGCAGCAGAGAAACTCAATTCCATGGAGGTCAATATCGGTGAGAAACAACTGGTTTTTATGATACTGCAAGCTCTTCCAGTGAAGTATAGCCAGTTGAAAGTGTCATACAACACTCAAGACAAGACTTGGACTGTGGATGAGTTAATTGCTCAATGTGTGCAAGAGGAAACTCGGCAGAGGCAAGAGAAAATGAGAGAAACAGAAGATGTGAACCTAGTGCATGCTGGAAATCAGGATACCACTATTGCTTCTGGTAAGGCATCTAAATTCTCTAATCATGCCAATAAGTCTGCTAAATCTGCAAAATACTCAAAACCCTCTAAATCTAACAAACTTAATGTGAAAGATGTGACGAAAATTAGATGTCATCACTGCAAACTCAAGGGTCATTATAGAAAGGATTGTGAAACATTCAAGGATTGGCTAAGGAGTAAAGGAAGAACTAATGTCTATGTTTGTGTAGAATCAAATTTGATTGAAATTCCTGCTAATTCTTGGTGGTTTGACACAGGATGTTCAGTTCACATTACAAACATATTACATGGATTTGAAAAACAAAAACAAACTTATAAAGACTCCTATAATGTTTTTGTGGGGAATGGGACAAAAGTAGGTGTTGAAGCAATTGGGGTTGTGAAACTTAAAATGAAATCAGGTTTTGTTCTTCATTTGAAAGATGTTCTTTATGTTCCAGATATGAGAAGAAGTTTGATTTCTGCATCAAAATTGGTCAAACAAGGTTTCGGTTTTCTTTGTGATGATTCATGCATAAAGTTTTTTCAGAAAAACAAAATAAATTCCTTACTTTGGACAACTATTTTGCATGATGAACTGTGGGAGATAGACTACATATTTGAAAAACCATCCCTTGTTTTGAGTACTACTGCTAAACGCATGCATGAATCAGAGTCTTCATATAGTTTATGGCATAAAAGACTAGGTCACATTTCAAAAGAAAGAGTTTTATAATTAGCTAAGACAAACTTGATTCCTGCACTTGATTTCAAAAATGCAAAAGAGTGTGTTGATTGTATGAAAGGAAAGCTAACAAATATCAGAAATTTTGAAGCAAAAATGAGTAAAAACCTTCTTGAGATTGTACATACTGATGTTTGTGGTCCTTTTCCTGTTAAAACCATAAGTGTGAATAGCTATTTTGTGAATTTCATTGATGATTTCTCTAGATATGGTTCTACTTTTCTCATTAGTGAAAAATCAGCCGTACTTGACTGTTTTAAAATCTTTAAGACTGAAGTTGAGATGCAGTTGAATAGACAAATTAAAATTGTTAGATCAGATAGAGAGGGAGAGTATTTTGGCAGGTACACTGAAGCTGGACAACAGAAGGGCCCTTTTGCAATATATCTTCAGCAACAAGGCATTGTGGCGCAGTATACTACTCCAGGGACACCACAGCAAAATGGTGTTTCAGAAAGAAGAAATAGAACTTTAATTGGGATGGTTCGAAGTATGATTTCAAGATCAAAACTGCCTAGTTTTCTCTGGGGTGAAGCACTCAAGACTGCCAACTATATTTTGAATCGAGTGCCCACTAAGTCTGTGAAAGGAACACCTTTTGAAGTTTGGACAGGTAGACGGCCTAGCTTTGGGCATTTCCATGTATGGGGATGCAAGTCTGAGGGCCGAATTTATAATCCGAATGAAAGGAAGTTAGATGCCAGAACTACAACTTGTTACTTTATTGGATATTCTGAGAAATCCAAGGGCTATAAATTCTATTGTCCACAGGCTTATTCACGGATTCAAGAGACTCATAATGTTGTGTTCATTGAAGACCAAGATGTTGCAGATATGGTAGCTGAAACTTTTGTATTTGAAGAAATTGACCAAACAACTAATGATGATGCAATAAATGACTGTCTGCAGATTCCAATTTTCTCAAACACACCATCTGCAATTAGAGATGAAGACACTGAGATGACTAAAAATGAGTTGCAGCCTGTTGCTGAGGATAATCTTGCATCTGTGTCTGAAGAAATTCAAGAACTCAATCATCAACCTGTGCAGCAACCTGTGAGACACTCAACAAGAGTGAAAAAACCGACTCTTTCAAATGACTATGTATACCTCCAGGAGAATGAATTCGATCTAGGAGATATTGATGATCCACTGACCTATTCTTAGGCAATGACAAGTCCACAAGCTGTATTATGGAAGAAGGCTATGGAAGAAGAATTAGAATCCATGTCCAAGAACAATGTTTGGACTTTGGTGGAATCTGATTCTAAAACTAAACCAATAGGTTGCAAGTGGGTTTACAAAACCAAGAGAGATGCTCAAGGTAGAATTGAAAGATACAAGGCTCGGCTGGTAACAAAGGGTTTTACACAGAAGGAAGGGGTTGATTTTAGTGACACTTTTTCCCCAGTTTCTTCAAAGGACTCTATGCGGATTATCATGGCATTAACAGCCTATTTTGATCTTGAATTACATCAAATGGATGTAAAAACAGCTTTCCTCAATGGTGAATTAGAAGAACTATTCATATGAAGCAGCCACCTGGATTCATTGAAAGGGGGAAGGATAGTTTGGTCTGCAAGCTTAATAAGTCAATTTATGGACTTAAACAAGCTTCTAGACAATGGTATATTAAATTTGATAAAGTTGTGACTGCACACGGGTTTACTGAGAACAAGCTTGATGACTGCATATACTCCAAGTTCAAAGGTACCAAATTCATATTTCTGGTACTATATGTGGATGACATTTTGATAGCTAGTTCTAATTTGCAATTGCTGCATGAAACCAAGACTATGCTCAGTTCTAACTTCGAGATGAAAGATTTGGGGGAGGCTCATTATGTCCTAGGGATTGAGATCATCAGAGACAGCAAAGAAGTTTCTGGGGCTATCACAGAAATGATATATTGAGAGAGTTTTGATTCGGTTCAATATGGAAGATTGTAACGGTGCTGATGTACCTGTGAATAAAGGAGACAAATTCACTCGAGATCAATGTCCTAAATCCGAGTTGGAAAAGAGAAAGATGAGTACAAAACCGTATGCTTCTCTGGTGGGCAGTTTAATGTATGCCAACATATGTACTAGGCCGAATCTTGCTTTCATTGTTGGCTTGCTGGGCAGATTTCAATCTAATCCAGGTGAAGCACATTGGATGGCAGCTAAGAAGGCATTAAGGTATTTACAGAGAACAAAAGGCTTCATGTTAGTTTATGGTGGAGCAAAAGAACTGGAAGTAGTTGGTTATACCGATTCTGATTTGGCTGGTGATCTGGATGAAAGAAAATCAACTGGTGGCTATGTTTTCATGTTTAATGAAGGTGCTATTTCATGGAGAAGTGCCAAGCAAACTATGATCTCTACCTCTACTATGGAAGCAGAGTTTGTGGCATGCTTTGAAGGCATGAAACAGGCAGTCTGGCTTAAGAATTTTGTCAGTGAGTTGAAGATTGTAGACTCAATACAAAAACCAGTGAAGATGTTCTGTGACAATAATTCTGCAGTGTTCTTCTCAAAGAACAACAAAAGGACTTCAGCCTCGAGGTTAATGGATGTGAAATTCTTAAAAGTCAGAGAGAAAGTTAAGCAAGGTGCAATAGTGGTGGAACATTTAACTACTGATTTGATGATTGCCGATCCTTTAACAAAGGCATTGCCAAATGGAATTTTCAAGACTCATGTAACTCGGATGGGAGTATTGGAAGCTTTTGAAAAGTGGGAGTAATTGTTGCTATATTCAAAAGTATGTTAGAGCTATTGGAAGATGACAGTAGAATGCTTTTCAAAGTGGAGGTTTTCTGCAAAAGTTTTCTGGAAGCTAAGTGTTTTAGTTAGTTTTCTTGTTTGTTTTGTTTGCAGTTTGTTATGTTTTTATTCAGCGCAATTTTTCCAGATATTTCTGTGATTAATTGTTCTACAAAATAGTTTTTCGATTCAATAAAAGCTTGTGAATCAATTTTTGGTACTGATAAAGCTATTGAATGTGTCATAACTGTGTTGTTCACTCCTTCGTGAATGATTTTGAGTTAACAGTTCACTGATGGATATTTTGGTATTGATTTTGGGCTATGTGAGTGGGAGTATATATTTTGGGTTTACTCCTGTATTGAGATGCATTGCTATAAGCATAAATTGGACATTGTGATTTGTAAGATGATGTTGTATTCTGTGTTACAAAGGAGATTACAAATTCATTGTTTTGGTTTGTGTAAGCTGGATGTATCTGTGCACTAGTGTAATTGATAAAAGACTTGTGTGATCACCTTTTTTGATACGTTTGAGATAATTATCTGTTGTGAAGAATCATACTCAAGTGGGAGAATGTTAGAGTATGAGTATGATTCTTACATGTTTTGGGATAATTAACATTATCATAAAAGAAGTCCTAGTCATGTTGGCAGGAGTAATCCTATTGTGACTAGGATATTGAGAACTCTTGTATTTGCACATAAATAGAACTCATATTCCTTATTGGATTGTAATAGGGCAATCGATATGCTTAGTATATATACATAAGCCACTGCTCTCACATAAGAACGCTCTCATCTTTGCACCAATAACCTATTCTTGGGAGAGCATTGAGATTTGAAGAGAGGAGAAGGGTTGTGTAAGTGCTGCAATGGCTTCTTCATCAAGCAACATGTCTGCAGGTTAGTATTCTTTTATGTTCTGTCTATATTTTGTTTTCGTTCTTGTTAATGTTGTGATTTGATCACTTGATTCAATTCGGTTCATAGGAAGAGACTGATTTAGGTTTTGATGTCTCTGAGTTCTTCTAACATCCCGTTCTTTTAAAGCATTCACAGATATATGGAAAGGACAAGGGAGAGAAGGAGAAAGGAGCGGCATGACAATTTGCACCTGCAGGTCAATACTCTGGTTCACTACACTTGCTCGTTCTCATTGTGACCTCAAATCTCAGCAATCATACACATTCCTCATCCATGTATTTTTCGTCTCCAAAGTTTATAACTGAAATTTCTTAGAGCAATTTAAGAAGTAAATTCATGTGATTTATACTCTTTGAATAACGTGTTTCAATACATACCTCATGTTCACTTCTAAAATTTCGATCAGAGTAATCATTGATGATTGACAACACCGGCAGGGTAAAAGCAAATGACGCAGTCATCACCGTTGGAAGCCATGTTCCGAGGAATTTTTGAATCATTTTATTGCTGACATAAACAGAATCGTCTGAATCACGCGAGCTTTATCACCCTGATCAAAGGGAGAACAAAATCCCAACATTAACATCACGGGGTTCAAAGCCACGTGTGTGATCAGTGATCACTAATCTTAACGGTATATTATAAACTTTATGTTACAGAGGACATAAATTACATGATCCCCACCCATCTGAGGCACGAGGCTCCTTAACTTGGCTCACATCCGCTCTGCGAAAACTTGAGCAACTGAGATAAGCAAATCCCTGTGCCGTGCAAACTTGATATCGAATTTGGTACGTGCAGATGAATAATTACCTAAAAGCGGATCATAAATCAGTAAGATGTGCATGAGAAGTTAAATAATCATTACTAATTTGATATATATAAAAGAAGAAAATCACCTTTCCAAAGAGATTAATATATATGCCTACCTTGCGAGTCACTACATGATCCGCATTGCTCATGTCCTTTGAAGATCATATGAATTCTGAAGAAGAAAAATAAGCAAATTAAGTTTGATGATAGCATTTGTAATTGATACATAGATAAATGAGTAAATAAGATAGATAGAGCTGAATTACATGAGAAGTCGATGTTGATTTTGATGTTTGGGATGTGAGAAATCTTGGGCCACTCTTCTCCACTGCCTTGTTTACAACGCTTAGAAAGCGTCGAACAATTGTAAATGGTAAGATCCTGCAGTGGAGTGTTGCAAAGGAAGTCTGGCAGCGTTTTTATGTGATGGCAGTCACGAATTTCTAAGGAGGAAAGGCATGGCATGATTGAAATTTCAGAATCCTCTTTGTTCCACCCTTCCACGCCTACTTCCTACTCTTCCAACGCTTCCATGTAGGCAATTTCGAGTTCTTTCAACTTTGGGAAAAATGAGTATGATGATGATTTCATTGACGTTTCATCTTGGTCTACTCCCAAAAATTCACCACCAACCTTTTTCACCTTCATCATTAGCACTATGGTCAGTTTTGCAAGGTATGGCAATTTCCCAAGAGGAGGCAAAAACTTGCATTCACTCCATCCAGATAGAAAGATGATTTTTAAGTTGTGCAAAGACATCATCCAATTAGGGCAGGTGGCGCCTGAGTGCACACGAATGCTTAAAGATTCCAGATTTTCGTGCGGTCGTAAGACATTCAGTATTTCAACGGTGCTTGATGTCTGCATGTATTGGACATAGTAAGAATTAATTCCGAGAGGAAAGAGTTGCTTCATGCGCCACAATTGTGCTTTCTCAAGCTCACTCTCATCTTTCACATTCCCCTTTAATATTATGTTGAGACGGCCATCAAGGTTCAAGCCCCTCAGATCTCCCAGTTGTAATGCTTCTTTGTCCTCATCTTCATCACAAACCACAACACACACTTCAATTGTTCTCAATTTTTGTAGTCTCCGAATCCCTTTTGGCAAGTACTCCAGCATATCGCAGCCAAAAACATAAAGGTGCTTTAAGCTAATCAACTTTCCCATGTTATCTGGTAGTTTTTCAAGTGACCTGCAATAATATAGGCGCAAGGTATACAAATTGTACATCTCACATATACTGTCCGGCAATATCTTCAAACCTTCATTCCTTGACAAATCAATATGCCTCAAATGTATCAATTCACCAATTTCCTTTGGGACTTCAATTATGCCATTTTTACGCAAATTTAATGTCCTAAGACATTTTAGTTGCAAAATGAAATTTGATTCTATCGTAGAAATGGTTGAACCATACATCGAGTTTGAGATTCTTGTGAGTGTACGTAAATTTTTGCAATTGTAACATGCATTAGAAGGTGGGAGTGGCTCACCACATTTCAACCTTAAGGTCAAATGACGAACCTTTTCACCCAAAACCTCTACTTCATTGCCAACACCCTCAGCATCCATGATCAAACATTCGTTGTTGTTGAGAGATTGCACAAAGTCATGAACAATATCATGCATTTTGCAACCTATAACTTTACCACTAACACTATCTTTCACCAAATCTTGGAAAAAAGATCGTGCAACTAAGTTATCAAAAAATGCTTCACCAATTTCTCCCTCATCTTTATTCCCTTTTGAATTAAGATAATCTTGTGCCATCCAAAGATTAATAAAATATTTTCTCTCAAACTCAAAATCTTTAGGAAAACTAGCACAATACAAAAGGCAACATTTGATTGATGGGGCCAAATCATAATAACTTAGTAATAACGGTTGGAAAACTTTTTGCTCCACCTCTTCTCGATCCCATATCTTGCTATTCAAAACATCTAGCCATTCCCTCCTTGTTCTCTTATTGTGCATGAGACTGCCTAAAGCTTTTGCGGCAAGAAGCAAACCCTTACATTTTTCTACAATTTTCTTACTAATATCTTCAAACGCTTTAGACTCACCTACTTCTCTATCAGCAAACGCCATGTGATTGAAGATTGATAAACAATATCCTTCACTCAACTCTCCCAAACTAATCATGTCACTTGTTGCTCTCATCATATCAACAACCTCATGCTTTCTTGTGGTCACCAATATTCTACTGCCATGAGCACCACTTTGTATTAGTGGTGCCCTTAATCGTTCCCACTTTTCACTATCGTGGTTCCACACATCATCTAGGACAAGGAGAAACCTTTTGCCCTCGATAGATCTTGACATGCACTGCAAGACATAGTCCAACTCATTTGAACTTGGGGCACCATCACCACTTATGGATTTGGCAATCTTAATCTCATCAAAAGGGTCTGAGACACAAACCCACACTCTCTTTTCAAAATGGGATTTAACCTTGCTATCATTATAAACTAGTTGGGCTAGAGTTGTCTCTCCCATTCCGCCCATTCCTAGAATAGGGATGATAAGGAGCCCCATCCGATCTTTTCCACCATCACCCAACAATTTTGTTATCAAAATGTCTTTTTCTTTTCCTCGACCAAATACCTCTGAAATGACGACGAAGGACGAAGTCTTCTGCCGTTCAGGTAATTGTTGAATGCCTCTTTCTATGTGTTGAAACTCATACCTTTTTCTCTGCTCATCAATCGCACTTAGTCTACCATTCAGATCTTTTATCTTACGCGCAATGTCACGACGGAAAATTACCCGTCTGACTTTGCCAAAACAAAAGCAGCTAGGGGAAACAGAGAGAGTTACCTTCTTCTTCTTCTTATTGTTAAGAACAAGAGCATTTTCACTTTCTCGTTCTTGCTTCTCAACCTGTTATCTCAGCATGTCAGTGTTCCACTCGTCCAGCACGTCCACCATCTCGAAGGATATGTCTTTGAGCTGATCCAACCAAATCCTCACGCTGGCCTCCTTCACTTGCCTTTGCTCCGCATCTTCGAGTACAACTTGAATAGCCTTGAGATTGTCAGCAAATTCTTCAATATCTTTCTTGGCGTCCAAAACATGTTTCACCTCACCGTCCACATATTCATAAGCTGTTGAAGCCAGCCGATCCAGTAGCATGAAAATGATCCCGTCTGCCATTTTTTAAACCTCTCTTCAGAAATTGGTCGACAGTGGAAAAAGATATGATCTACAAGAAAAGCATGATATTTTGTGGCATTGCCTCTCTTTTATCCAAGCTTATATGACGATTCCAATTTCCAAGCCAATCAATTTAAAAAAAAAAAAAAAAAAGTGTAAAATGAATAATATTAAGATAAACTTTTTAAAATAAAAATGTGATTTTTCGTTAAAATAAATAGTATCAAAAAATTTTCGTTAAATTTTTTTTTTATCAGTCAAGTAAAGTAAATTGAATGGTAGTTGTGATGTCCTATCCATTGATTTGGAAATTTTTATTTTATTTTTTATCAGTCAAGTAAAGTAAATTGAATGGCCGGTGTGATGTCCTATCCATTGACTTGGAACTCTTTGTTTTGCGTAAGGGATCAATATGCATTGCATATTAGGTGGTGGGACTAGGATTCTCCCCACTTTTCTTTTCATCATTTCTTCTTACATTTTCTTATTTTGTCTCTTTTTTTTGTTATAAAAAATTAATATAAGATATTAATGTGATTTAACCGTGACCGTTCAAATAGAAGATGAGGGAAAAAGAAAGGGAAAAGAATCATACTCTAAGGCCCGTGAGGGAGCCAATCATCCAAGAAAACAAAGAGGGCGTTCTGGTCAAATGAAATATACCAAAATGTTAAGCTAATCACCAATTGTAGTGCTCTTTTCTCTCTATGCAGTGACACCGGGACAGAAAGGTTTCTTTAGTGTAACTCACTATGAGTTGAAGGTGCACAATAGCTCTAGTTCTTTCACTAGCAACTCTCAAAGAGGAGAAAAACCACAAATAAGTTGTCTAACCACGTCATTCTTAAAACACTTTATTTTGATACAACACAACCCACTGCGTATGTGACATAATTAGGGAGCCTTGCTGAAGTTTAGGGGTTCCCCCTCAAAGTGGAATTGCCCTTTTCATTTTTCTTCCCTTCCAACCATATTAACAACCATGGGGCAAAGGGAAGAGGCAATGGCCTTTTATCAAGGGTTTTTGTTGTTGAGTCTGTTTTTCATGTCCTTTGGGCTTCTAGGATACATAGTTCTATATGTATTAATAACAAACCCTCGCATCATGTACATAAACAGTTAAAAGAACAAGAAATTAGACCTGCTCATAGTTTATGAACATGTTCTGTTGTACTTAATAGAGAAATCTGGTAGGGATGTACTCCCGTATCCTAACAGGTAGACTATAAAATTCCTCATTTCTAGCATCTCCTTTCCTGCTCTGGAAGGGACGCCACCATGCAAGTCCTCTGTCGTCAACGGCATACTTCGCGTCAAGCGTGTTATCCAGCAGCGTCCCCACGATTATCGCCACTGTCGGGCTCGATGAGAAGATGGTGTTCAATATGTTATCAAACTGCAGCCATCAAAATGATGTAGCATTTCAGATAAACAAAACCATCAATAAAACATGTAAAGAAATCCAAACACCATATGTAATAATTGGTCTATGTGTAACTTACCCATCCACCGTCTGTTTTAACTGGCCCGACACCATTCGGGCTGGTGTTCGAGACAAAATATTGAGGTATTGAAATCCCAAGAAACAGGGAAAGACCCAAAACATAGATGTTTCTCAAGGAATTATTATTTGCAAACTGAATGAATGTGATCCCAACAGCAGCTGCAGATAAGAGGAAACAAATGTGAGCCCCTTTTGGTGATTAAATGATCCTAAGAAGATTAGAAACGGTAATAGAATCACTCACCGACAATTCCAAATAAAACACAGTACATGGCAGCAAATATCGGCAAAGGAATCGATGCAAAGAAAGCGCCAAACTTCCCTGAAAGACGTAAAATTAACACTGTCAAAACACAATGCGGTAACCCCACGGTGTGACATGTCAAACAGAAGGAAAGAACGGACCAAATATAGCGAAGAAGAACATGAAACCAGTTGAAATCTGCACCACTCTCCTGCTCCCTATGTGTGTCAATCCAAGCAGGCCAACATTTTCACTGCAACACGTTCCAAAAAATGAGTGAATTCCTATTCTTTGTTAGCAAACTTTCTTCCGTTGATATCCAACATTTTTGGTAGCTAGCAAGATGTTGGAAAATTATTGAAAGGGAATGTCAACATATATGTCAAGCAAAAAGGCTTTCTTACACGGATGCAGTGGTACCAACAGCAGCGCCAAAAATTCCTTCAAGCAGCATGCCAACACCCTGCATTTGAACATATGCAACCACATATTATTGAATTATTTTAAATCATTCACTGAGATATGGGAAGGACAAGGGGGAGAGAGGGACAAAGGTGCGGCATGACAATTTGCAATCACACCTGCAGGCCAATACTCTGGCTCACTACACTTGCTGGAGGGGGTGTAGCACCTGAAAGCCGCGCTGCTGCAAAATATGTTCCAGTTGACTGCAAGAAAAGATATTATTCAATGAATCAAAAACTACACACTGAACCAAATTAAAGATCTGAGATACTATTATCAGTTATGAAATAGTCAAAAGAGCATAAGAAATTGTATAGAATGGATACTAGACCTCCGCAGATGTAACAATGGCTGCTCCCATCATCCCAAATACATGGCTTGCTCGGAAAATGGGTGCACCCCACTGAAACGGGTATGGGAATTTAATCCTTAATTTGAAACAACAACAACAATGTGTCATGAAAAGGATAGTTTTTCTGAAGGGAATTTATTAACTTTATTACGCAAGAAGAGAGCCTCAATATTTGGACATACTACATACCAAGGAGCAGATGATATAAGGAAAGAGCGATCTGTACGGCAACTTTGTTTAGTCTGCTGTTTAGCATTGTTATAAGCACCAGCCTCAGTGAGGACAGCAGCAAATGACCATACAAGCGCAATGCATAGAAGCAAAGCAAACCTCTCAAGTATGTGATGGGCTCTAGGAAGAGCGCGCCTCAAATACTGCCCAAACAATATTGTCATGTTAAACTTAGAACATTTATTCAAAGAACAAAAAGTGGCAGATCGGATAAAATTTACCTGTTGAGTAATGACGAGCAGGATCAGCATAGGCAGACCAATCTCCACACAGTTAGCAAGCTGTGTACAACAAAAGAGAGTGAGATAAGTGTTTTGATAATATTCTTAAGATTGACATGAGAGAAATGGATTGTTTTGTTAGAGACGTTACAAGTGGAAAGCCACGTGCGAAAAGACCAAGACCGACTACACAAACCACTGGCACAATGACGATTGGACTAAAAAATCTGATAGAGCCATAGAGGAGAAAAAAAAAGCCATGACAGTTAGAAAATGATAAAGAAAGAACACATAGAACTTCGGGTTGAGGCCTCAAGTATCACTCTTGAGATAATAATTTAGTACCTTGTGAAGTTCCCCCATGCCTTACTAAACCCAATGAAGATGTTGAGGAAGGAAGATACAATAAGAGATCCCTGAATCGTTCTCATTGTGACCTCAAACCTCTGCAATCACACACATCATCATCCATGTATTTTCAGCTCCAAAGTTTATAACTGAAATTTCTTATAGCAATTTAAGAAGTAATTCATGTGATTTATACTCTTTGAATAACGTGTTTCAATACATACCTCATGTTCACTTCTAAAATTCCGATCAGAGTAATCATTGATGATTGACAACACCGGCAGAGTAAAAGCAAATGACGCAGTCATCACCGTTGGAAGCCTTGTTCCAAGGAATGTTTGAATCAAAGTGTTTATTGCTGACATAAACAGCATCGTCTGAATCACGCGGGCTTTATCACCCTAATCAAAGGGAGAACAAAATCCAAACATTAACATCACGGATTCAAAGCTACGTGTGTGATCCCTAATCTTAACCGGTATGTTATAAACTTTATGGTATAGAGGACATAACTTACATGATCCCCACCCATCTGAGGCACGAGACTACTGGCAATTATAACTATGGATCCAAGCATCACAATATAGTGCTGAAAAGCGAGTGCGAATGCTTCCGCTGTAAAATTCGATTGTTAGAAGCAATTTTGTTGCATTAGATCAAGATTTACAAGGGAAATTCACATCTAAAATTCCGCTGTAAAGAGGTCGCACTTGGTGCGATGGCAAGTGCCTTCGCCCATGAGCGGTAGGTCTCGGGTTCGAGACTTAGGAGCAGCCTCTCCATAAATGGGGGTAAGGCTAGCCGACATTCACCTCTCCCAGACCCTGCGTAAAGCGGGGGCCTTGTGCACTGGGTCCGACCTTTTTATCAATTACTTGTAACTTGCAGGATAAGCTGAACTGGTTAGGGTTCTTGTGAAACATATGCTTATTATTTGATTAGAACTAATACACTACTTAAAGATTCGAACACAATATTAGATAACCGAATCAAAATTAGTAAAAGCGATCTGCAGAAATAGGAAAAAAATTAAGACATGCAAACTAGTAAACTAAATAAAAAGCTTGCACTTTTAAACCAACCCCATAAGAAAGACACAACTTTAATAAACTTTTTCCTGCAGGATTTCAAAAAATAGAAACCCAGAAAGAAGAGAGATATAGAGAGAGAGACTAACGCCAAGAGGGGTTGGAGTGGATGCAATACTGAAGCTGGTGGAGCTGCTCAGCTGGAGTCCAAGTAGGACCCCTCGCCGCCCCAAGAGGCATCTGAGACGGCGGAGCAACCACCTGTGGAGGAGGAGGCGGAGCAGTTTCTCCCATCTTTTGATTTGCTTTTCCTTCACTCTTCCCCTTCCGTTTCTCTTCTCTGAATTTCTGAAGACTGAAAGCTTCTTCTTCTTCTCGGTTGAAGCACTAACACTTCTGACAAACCACCGACACCATAAATATATATAAAAAAATGGGACTGAACTAAATTCTCAACAAAAAATAAGTCTTTGAGATTGGTTTCTTCCGAGCAAATGAAAGGAAAGTACGAAACGAAAAATATTGAATTAAATGGATGCAAAGAAAGAGAAAGTTCCTGTCTTTTGAATCAAAGCGAAGAGATAGACTACGTTTTGATTGTCGTGTTCTGAGGAGCATAAGCATTATATTGTTTATGGGTCTCTTGCACTCTTCGAGGAACTTCCACTTACTTGCAACGTAGTAAACCATGAACTTGCTACAATTAGACATTGCCTTTGCGATAATAACGATTGTGCCATTCTTTTCTTTTCAGCTGGGACCTTGGTGGTGGGGAGAGAAAGGATATAATTCAATGGATCAAAAGCTGGAATTCCCTCTCGTTTTCCTGCCTTTTTCGATGGATTTCTCTTTCTCGTTATGTGGTGTGGGATGGATGTTTTGTGAAAGATGTGGACAGCCATAATAATCTTTATATTTTCATACTATAGACAACTTTCTCAAATTAACATATGCAAAAAGTTGCTTAAATAATTAAATTTTAAGATCATATATCATCAAGATTCTGTTAAAATATCATATTTTAGTATCGCTTGTATATACAGTGTAAATATCTCATTCTTTAACGAAAATAAGTTTTTTTTGTAAATATTCAAACTAACAAATTTGTGTTTCAAATATTAATTTGAAAAATTTTAAAGGATGGAATGTACTCATTACCTTATGAGTTCAGACTCTTCCATTCCTATAGTATAAATAAATTAAAGTATTAATATGAGTCAAGAACAAAAATCCAAAAATATTTACATTGTTTAGGATGACTCATCCTTCAAATTTGAAAATTAAGAAATTAAGTGCAGATTTAACCAGAAAATGTGATAATAAACAAAAGTTATCATGTTTTTAATATGTTACTTTTCAAAGGGAAGATGATCCTCTCAGGATTCACTTTGTGGGGATCTTAGGGATCCCCACATCCTAGCTATTCATGGTATATGGTGTAGTCAATTTTCGTCAGATACTATTTATGTTTAATTTTAAATAATAAAAAATCAAATAATTTTTTACCGCACGATACATGATAAATGGCTAAGATGTGATAATTCCTAGTACCTCTACAAAATAGATTCGGATGGAATCCAATTCCTTTTCAAAGTACCAACCTAAAATTATTTTCCTAGACATGTTTGTTAGGTAAAACAGTTTCGGTAGCAACCCAAACCCGGCCTTTTAATCTTTTCCCACTTCAAATCACTTTTTAGCAACCATCTTAGATTGCATTAGATTGTGTTTCCACGGGGGCACTATTGTAATATAGAAACCAAACGATGGGTGCATGTGACATTGCGGCATCGCAAGGGATGAGAGTCGTGACAAGAGAGAGATAACTAACAATATATAACGGTTTAAAATTTCGCGCCAGCCACGTGAAACCCACGCCGTCGTTCGAACGAGGTCAGCAGGTGCTCCAGTTACTTTTTTTTTTTTTTAATGTAGATAAATGTTGAAGAGACACTTTTAAAAATAAAATTTTCTATGAACTTCTGTCATTTTATATTTTTGGTGCGATGTTTTTTTAATATTGATACGGGAGTTATATAAAAAATATAAGATAACAAAGAGTTCACGAGAGTTCTGCTTTGAAATAATCTATATATAGCGTGTCTCTTTAACATAACCATGTTTTCATGTAGTGAAGTATCTTACGTGGGTAATCACAGCTGAGAATTATAATAAATAATTTCAAATCATGCGAAAATGACTCGCACAATAACTATTGATTGAAAATGATTTTCAGCATTTCAAATCAACAACATATCAAAAAGAACTTTAAATTTCTACGTGAATGATAAAGTTGGACTACGATTGCAACATCGTTATTGTGGATAATCCTTTTTATTGCCATATGGGCTCCATTTAAAGTCAGTAGAGAATTTCTTGTCCACAATCCACTGTATGAGGTCTTCTTTCTGTGATGGGACCGCAGATAGGCTTAAGTATTATACAAATGGTCTTGATTTTTGCGTGTGATCGCAAAAACACGTAGTCTATTGTTCATACACTAAATTGTATCGAGCAAGGAGCGTCGAAGGCATATATACATATCATGCTACAGTTAGGGATACTCGTCCGATGCTATGTTAAAGAGTTTGGAAGTTGTTATCGACAATTTCAAAGGTCTTTTATGCAAATCTAAAAAAAGAGAAAAAGAAAATGTGTAGTTAATTACTACTTTTAAGGTACGAATAAAAATTCTGAAACGATTTGATATAAAAATTGTGAAAATTCTAAACGAATCTTAGACTAGAGGCATGTGCCCACAAATGAAGTTGTCTGAAACTAAGGTACTGTAATTGTCAACTTAGGACTAGTAGTTAACACTAAACCAAAATTCAAGTGAATTAAACCTCTTTTAGTCAAACAAATGAGTAGCATAAAAAAAGTATTCAAAATCAAGATTAGTAGAGAGTGGTTTGGACACTTGAACGCTATATAGGGATCATGATTTTCGGCGATCTCAGTTAAAAGATGCAATTATATATAAGATGGAGTTTCGAGAGAAAACGAATAGAGAAAGAATTACGAAAATATAGAAAGAGATTTTAAAGAAAGATATGAAATACTTGAAGCTAACGGAAGATTTGGAACAAAACTGAGCGCAATTGCTTTTTAAGATTCATACAGCAAATCCTATTTTGTAAAATAAAACTTAATTGTTATTGTATTCTACAGTATCCACAAACACTTTGTACCTCTACACACCACATGTAATTCTATGCTTTTATCTTCTTCTAATTTATTTGATCTTACGATTAAAAATTAAAAAAATTATGCGTGAATGTGAAGAAAGTAAATAACACTACCTTTCTACGAATAGATAAAAGCCGTGGCAGAAATAACAACAATCGCCGCATGGGCGAAACAAGACAACTGCTGCAGGTACAGGTGATTAGGTAATAATAAAATACAGCACATTTATACGATGCTCATACATATGAAATACTAAAGTCTCGTATTATTCTACGTACACACGTTGTCTTTTACAGGGGATATAATCATATAACACTCAGCCGGCAAGAGGGTTGAGCACGTGCCCGATGAACAGAACTGTTCCGGTCATTTCTTCCCTGATCAGGAAGAGGAATGGACGATCAGCCACAAAGTCAACTGTCATGGAAATACCCCTTAGTTTTATAACGCCGGCAGAAGAAGCTGCAGCTTCTGTGCCTTCTTCATTCACTTCGATGAACGACTTGTGGAATATGCTGGAAACGTATAGGTTCTTTCCCTCAGGCGAGTCCACCATCTCTGTCAAACCTCCTTCACCACCGAAAGGCAGCACCAGTCCCAGACCCTTAAGGACATTGGAAGCTTCAAACCCGAATGAGATCTTAAACTTTGGGATTCTGAAGTCGCCCACTGCAACTTGGCTTTTGGGAAGATGGCGATCCAAAAAGCCAGACTCAGAACCAAGTTTGTCAACCAAAGCTGGCAGCCCATCTTTCACCTCCGGAAGGAAGATGTGCATGGAAAAGCGCCGCTTGTCTTCGCCTTGTTTGTAAGGAAGCCCCAAGACTGAGAAACCGTCATAGGCACTTACATACTGCTTCTTCTTGCTGGTCATGAAGGGTGCCTTAACTGTGCTCCCATCGAGTAGGTGGAAGTCATGCTCTTTTGTAGTCGATGCATCAAACTTTTCATTCCAAGCTCCTTTGAAGTATAATGCATTAGCAAATATGAGCCTGGTTGAGCTGTCAACTGACCCGGGAGGAAGTACCTCCTTGATAAGTCCGCTCGTCTTCTTTTCAGCCCATGAATTCACTCCCAACGCCACTTCAGCAGCCTTGAGCACCAACAACCGTTACAACGAGTTAGAAAAAACAATGATATCAGCCCTACACATTACTTCAATACTAGAAACCTAGTGACGAACATTAGCTATAACAACTACATGAAAAGGCAGAACAAAGGCAAAGCAACTCTAGGAAATGTACCATTCTTATTCTATCATGCTTCACACACACACACACACACACAAAAACTGGAATTAAACCAGCAGGATTATGTTCCTTGCCAATCCTGCCAACTAGAGAAACGTAAAAACTTTACCCTATTCAGAATTTTAATAATTTACCTCAATAATTAATCGCATAAGTATTCAGCCAATTTCCCCCCGAACCTGTACCCAACAGACGATTTTCCCCTAAGCTTTTATTTTGGGGAACTTTAACGAAAAGCACCCAGTACTGTTCACTTTAACGAAAAACCACATTTTTTACACTAAAATGTCAATCCTGGAATTATTCACTTTACCCTTTATTTTGTCCAAATCATTAAAACTCAAAGTTTTCAAGCCCTTTTCATTAGTTTTCCTTTTATTTTGGCCAATTTCTCTCTAGAACTAATAAAATAGCCAATTTTCCCCCTACCATTGTGATTGCCCCCATTCCATCCAAATTTTCAATCCAAAATAGTCACATTCCGGTCATCAATCGTGATTAGTTATTCGTTAAGGTACATGAAATGTGAGGCCGTACACGGAATTTAGTCAAAATGTTCAAAGAGAAATCGGCAGTGGAGTACAAGTTGAAGGGAAAATGCGGAAAAAACTCAATTCTCAATCATAAATCCAAGATGATCCAAAAACAAAATAAGAACATGATGGACCAGAAGCTGTGTGATCTCAAGGGCCTTTTGACTCTTTTCTCTTAACCAATTACCACCACAAACAGCAATGAACAACACAACTTCGATACGATCCCGTAACGGCTAAGGTATGCACAATCACAAGCACAAACAGTAATGATTACTGAAAGGAAATAATTAGTTGAAATGCAACAAACTGGAGCAAGAATAAAAGAGCATCAGCAGGCATACAATTAAGGTTCAACACTCGCAGCTTAAAAGGAACAAACATCTCTAATCGAATCGAAAAAATTGAAGACTTTGATCATGAGCAGCATCGAAAAAACAATCGAAACGACAGGACAGAGGGTTTGGGAGCTTACATTGGTCTGGAAATCGACTTGGGCCAGAGCGGCCTTGTAAGAAGTGTCCACCACCTGTTTGAAAGAAGGCTTGAGAGGGAGAGGCTTGTCCACCCAAACCCCATTCGCAAACGCCAGCTGGGGGCCGCCGCTGGGGGACCCATCGGAGAAGATCACGGATACGAGCTCGGCGGCGAAGGAGTTGAGGTGGTCGGCGGACTTTGACTTGAGGAACGAGAGGAGCTGGTCCTGGGTCGGACCCTTTGACCCGGCCGCGATCAGGCTCAGCACCACGTGGATGGACAGCGGCGAGTACACAAGGTTGGATTGCTTGCCTTCGGTCTGAAGCAGCTTCTTCGTCAGCCCCAGTGCGACGTCGGTTTGGTTGATGATGCTTTCTCGCAGATCCATGTTTGCCGTGCTTCCGGCAGCGAGAAGATTGTTCGGATGTTCGTTTCGGGGATATACGAGACGTAAGGACTAAGGTTTCGGAAAGTCGGTGTCGGTGGTCGGTTTCAGGTTTAAACGAATCGATGCGAAGCCAAGTGGGGGAAGAAGACAGTAGAGGGAGCAGTTGGATTCGAGCGGGTCGCAACGACCTCGTAAGAAGTAAGCTATATTGGGCTTAGCCGCGTAAAAAGTTCGCCATATTGGGCCTTATTTTGGTGTTACTTTTGTGGTTTGGATCAGGCCCCTCTTTTGTATCCTACTGGTAATTAATCTCAAATTTATGTCAAACGGTGATATTTAAAGAAAATGACAGCGTTTGAGTTAGGAAGCAGGTACTTTTTGTTCGTAAATGCTTAATTAGAGGTTGATTAATTTTGTTCTTGATTGTTTAGGTTCGTGTGGTTGCCACAGAAACTGAAAACTTCGATTTCCTGAGAATAACGAGGAGTTGCATGAGATCCATGACAAAGAAGCCGGTGAAGAACATGAAAATGTTCAGAGAACAGATCAATTCAGGCACATTGAGGTTGTCTATGCTTACAAATTTACTCGAGTTCAATTTGAAAGACGAAACTACTGAAATACTTGTTTTGAAGTGCTTTTAGAATGAAAACGTTTGTATATAACTAAAGGGAATTATTATTAGCACTCCAAAAATCTCATTCTACAGTCCTCACAAGTGTATTTTTCTTTCTAATTATAAAAGGTCAGTCACACAAGTTGAAGAAATAGTTCAGTTAAAAATGAAGTGCACCTTGGTACAAGTACAAAAAGGTGGAAGTGATTAAGGAAGGTGATTACAATGGAAAGGTTGAAATGGTTAAAGTCTAATTAGGGTTTGCTAGGATTAAGGGGATGATTAGTATATATTGTAATGAAAAGCAATAATCATCTACATTATTAAGAGACCCCATCTTATGAAACAATGCATTTTATAACACATGATATCAAACTTAAAAATGAAGGGCAAATGATAAGGGAAATGATTTCCGCACTCCAGAAACAAGAGTGCGGGAATCATTATCTATTATAGTTACATATTATTATAGACCAGCCATTCTCATCCAAACATACATAGAGTCAGTCTCCACCAAAACTGAAACTGAAACCGAAACCGAAAACTCATCAAGGAAAAAGATTATGCAATGAAAATGAGACTCAAGCGATCGGAGAGGCAACAATCCACCAAAAATCCTGACTCTATCAGATTATATAGTTGAAAGCAAAATAAGATCATACTAGTATCAAGTCATCAATCTGTATAACGTTTGTTCTTAATTAACAATTTATTTACAGGAGCAATCGAGCGTGTTACCTAACAATTGACATGTACTGTTTCATCCATCTTATAGAAGAAGCGAAAGGGCACAAACAACGCGTTGTCGCCTTAATCTGCAAAACATTCTCAAACAAGAATGCTTTACAACAAGTTTACTCTACCACTTCACATCCAGTGTCAAAGCCTCTGGAGGGACAAGGACAGATCCGAACTTGGTAAAGGAAATATTTGACGTCAAACTACTCCACGCAACTGAATCGGCTACAACGAAGGGCCTAATCTTTTTAACAAAGAGAGGCTTAACCCTCTCTAACTCAACTCTCGCCAAAACTTCAAACCAAACCCGTTCAACAGCTGGCCTAGTTCTCCACCTTTCCTTTTCATGGAGCTCACCAATCCTCCGAAAAACCCTTTCCAGCTCAACCTTGAAGCGGACAATAGTTGAGGCTTTGATTTTTCCTTCAACAAATCCCGACGAATGGTTCTGGCGAATTCTATCCCCAAGAAAGCCTTTCCAAATCCTTTCCAGCATAGAGATCCTCAAACTTAAAGAACCAATGGGGCAAGGCCGCTTCTTGTATGCTTGACTTCTGTAGCACTTCTCTGGCAACAATTCAACTATCTCCTTGGATATAAAATTAGTTTCAATGTGGGCATCATGATTTCGAGTCTTGTATGCAACCAACGTTGCTGGCCCTAAAACACGAATTGGAACTAATGGTGCACAGTATGAATGCCCAATGGGCCAAAACTCACTTCTCTCCTTCTTAACAGCACCACTGCCATTTGCTGATAAACCAAGATCAGACGCATGAAACACAGAGACTTCGATCGCTCTGCTTACCTCCACAGTTATGCCTTCACCAACAAGAATCCTTTTCAACCCACTATATGTAGCGTTCATCTACAATATATAAACGCAAATAATGTGTTCAACACTGCCTAAATTGCTCGAGCTATTTGTGTATGAAATTGTCCGAAAACTCCAAACGAGCAACAAGTGAGCACTAATCAAAAACACTTCTGAAACACTTGGGAAATATGCACATATAGAACTTTCTACGAATTCTCAATACATGGTTCAATAAACAGCCTGAATAGACAAGTTTTTCCGTGTTCGTTTAGTGCCGGTTTGGTGACAATTTACTGAAAAAAGTTCTATTTTTTATGGAATCGTTTGTAAACTGATGAGAACCAATCAAGACAATTAACAGAATTCTGAAATTCAAGTTCAATTAAGCGTTGAATTCTGTAATTTTAGCATACCTGCAATGAAAGCGAGAGCTCGTGAGCGCCGCCGACCCGCAACTCAAACGGACCCTCCACTTCGAAGGTGTCGACAACCGCCATGGAGCTGAGGTCCTGAACGAGAGAGCCCAAATGGGTTCTGGGTTTCCTGAACTTCTTCCAGGAGGCAACGTCGTCCGAGAACAAGACGCCAACGTGGATCTTCCCGAATCCAACCCGAAACTCGTACCGCTGGGCGCTCCCGAATCGGACCCTGTCCACATCCAGCCTCGAGACCCTGACGTCCTGCAAAACCCACTTGTGCTTGGCCGAGATTTGCTTCAACACGTCCTTCAAATTTCACAAAAATGGAAAAGAAAAGTAGAAATTAATAGTCACAGAGAGAGAGAGAGACGAGATCGAGGGGAGAGAGAGACAGAGTACCTGCAGGATCTGGGTGTCGTCGTTGAGAAAGGAAGAATTGAAAGCGAGAATGAATTGAAGTGGAAACTGAAGGTAGAGGAGGAGGAGGAGGGAGACGGTGGCGCCGCCGGTCCTCATCGTCTTTTGTGTATGTTTTGATTCGTCAACGACTGACTTAAGCCGAAGGGATCGTGTGCCGCTCCCTCACCTGCTGACCCCCCACCACCGCCATGTTTGCGTTTTGGGTTCCAATGATGGTCAGACGCTTCCATTTAATTATCTGCCACTTTCTTTTTTCTTTTGGTTGCTATTATTAGTTTTATTTTGGATAGTGCTATCCATGAACATATTTTTACTTGTTACACTCTTATTAATTTCGGTCATTAAATTAAATGAATTGAAAAAAAAATCAATGGCGATGAATTAACAAGGGTGTTCCAAAGATGAAAATAAGTGTGTGGATAGTATTATCTTTTATTTATTTTTATTGAGTAGGGATGAGATTTGAACTTGATTAGTCTTCTAACTTTTGTGCATGTTTAATAAAAATTTTGACTCAATAAGCGAAATGATTATCAAACAATTTTTATTTCATAACTTATCCATTATGTATCAAACTGTTCATTCTTCATAAGTAAACATGTTGATGTCTTTTTATCAATGACATATCGACAACAATTCCATAACTAGATTAGAATTTTTTTCAATGCTCAAACAAAAAGGGTTAAAAAGACTTAATATTGAATTATAAGCTGAAGTAAACGCGCTTTATCACTTGAGTTAGTAAAAGAACTTGATTTACATATCTTTTACTAGAAACTTTACTCGAAGATGAAGTTAGGTTGGGCTGAATTGAAGTGAAATTGGTCCATTCAGGCATTAGCACAAGAAGAAGTAAAATCCGATCTACAAAATCACGAGCATTGTTTGATTTGAATTACTAACGAAAAACGATTTACCCAGAACAAGAATGCGTCTTATAAAATGGAAAAGAAAAACTCCAGAGACGTCATTTTACAGAGATGCGCTTCAAAGGAAGCAAGCAAAGCCTACAGGCAACAGGTAACTTTCAGCATTATCGCAAAGAACCATCTGCGGCGAACATCCGTTAACCATCTAAGGCGATCAGACCTGCATCCGACTCGAGAGGTGCTGTATTTCCAGATAAATGCTCTCCTTCCTTCGGATGTTTGGTTCCTCACAGGTGCTGAAACCTCATGCATGGCAGCTGAACCTCCCACAACATATAAGAACAAAATAATTTGATGAATCATACAAAATGGAAACTTTAGCTCCACCTTTCTTTCTTTTCTTCGCCACTCCTGTTTAGAGTAAGATTAAATTTCATACAAGATTCACAGACCGATGGATAAGTTAATCCATCCGAAGCATGTTCAAAGTGCTCGAAAATGAGCCAAAAGGGTGGTGAAAATAAATTCACTATCTTGATAAAGAGAATAAGAATGTATTCTGAGGTACTCCTTCCTGCAAACACAGGGCAACTGGTCAAGAAATCGCAACGGCGTTACTTGGTCCTTGTGGTTCAAGCATGGTGTTGGACACCTTGGAGGGAGGCCAATAGCGAAATACTGATCTGCCAAGAATGTTTTTGACAGGAAGTGGACCCCTGAAAACAAGAAGTAAACAACATCAACATCTCAGGGAAGTGCTAATTTTTTTTTTGGTTACAAGGATATAACAATTCAGTTTGAAGGATAATGATCTTCATGTGCAATACTAAGGACTTACCAATTATGAGAGTCAAAGCTGTTGTTGCGATTATCTCCCATTACGAAGACATAGCCTTCTGGAATAAGCTGCAACATCAAGCAAGCAGGTAACAATCTTGTAAGCAATCGTCAATGTCTCTCTATATGCAAATCAACTGAAGGAAAGGAAATGAATGAGATGCCAGAAGAGGACACCTACCACTGGATCCATTTCATAAGCGAGCGGCTCCAATATGTAATTTTCATTCTGAACAAGACCATTGATCAGCAATTTCCCATCGCGGACCTGTGCAATAGAAATCCAAGCAAATAACATGTCAAAAGTCATGGCATATAAATTTTCCATTCTTTGAACACACTGCCTGAGCTATAAACTTATAACCTTGAACTGCGAAGATTAATACCTCAACACAATCTCCAGCCTTAGCTACAATTCTTTTGATGAATACATCGGTTGAGTTATAACCGATTTCCTACACAGTACACAACAAAACAGAAGAAGAAAATGTCAGCACCGCTTGCAAAAATTTATTACAAAATGTAACTGAGGGTGCATTCGAAAATTCTTACAAAACGTAGTTATACACATTACCTGTAAGATTGGAGGTGCCTTGAAAATTACTATATCTGAAACCTCAGGCTTTTTAAAGAAATATGAAACCTGATTCATCAAAAGAAGAAAAGATATCAGCCGAACTATCTTCTGCTTGAGAATATAATGCATGATGGACACTAGGCGAAATCGATTTCAGACACCAACAGAAGAAAATTATCCACATGTCAATTCACCAAGTAATGCTTGCAAGCTTAAATTTCCATATCCCAATTCAAATTCACAGTTCTTACTTGTACTAACCAATACTAAAATAAATATCAATCAATCAAATTGCCAACATTGGACTAATTAAAAAAGGCAAAAATTCTAACAATGGCTTACCTTCTCCGCCAAAACGCGATCGCCAACATCGAGAGTAGGGTACATTGAAGTGGAGGGAATTGATCGGGGCTCAGCCAAGAAAGACTTAAACAATACACTGACTGTAACAGCAGTGAACACAGCCTTAGCGTCCTCCGAGCAATAATTCAACAACCGCGACAAAAACCCGGTCCTGCCCATGTCTTTCTTGGAGAGCTGCGAGGCTTCTGCAACGTCATCGACACACAACGTTCCACCTTTATCCACTTCCTTCATTATCGACACCGGGACGGACTCGTTGCAGGGCAACCACTTTGAGACCTGTAAAAAGGGCATGACCGAACCGGATTTAAACGGCGAAATCCCCAAAGAGGCCGGAGCCGAAGAGACGCCGGTGGCGATAGCCGTTGACTTCAGAAGCGAGATCAAGCCCAGCACGATCGGGCTCTTGCAGCTCTCGCCCAGAATCTCCTCGGCGAGAGCGGTGTACAATGACGGCAAGGGCTTAACGGCAGCCGTCGAATGCTTCGAGCGGGAAAATTGGGTCTGGTAATTGCGGACGGGGACGGCGGGGTCGAGATCGGGCTTCTGGTTGGATCCGAATACCCGAGACCGAACCCAGCATTCCTGAAATCCTCGGCAGTTCCCCGCGCGGAGGCTTGCCGAGGATGCTAGGTTTTGGGCCACATAGCCGGAGAAGCTGAGGGTTACGCGGATAGCCATAAGTACGAATTTGATTAGGTTGGTGAGGTAGGGATGCAGTGCGCTTTCGGAGAGTGACCGGATCGATCTAGGAAACCCTAGCAAGCGATAAATGCCATTGCGGAGGTTGACGACGGTGAATCGGCGGCGGGAAGGTTGAATTGAAAGGTGGGGTTACAGAATCGGAGGGATTTGGGGATTGGGAAAATTAGGGTTTGTGGGGGAAGCTCGGAGGTGGTTTGCCGGAGAGAGAGAGTGAGAGAGGGAGCCAGTGAAGCTCGCGAGTCACGAGCAGGTGGATTTGGAATCGCCAGAAAATCGCAGAGTGGGCTGCAATTCGGACAAATGATAGGTTTTATTAGAACGGCGGCTGGATTTGTAGACGAAAATGGCCTTCGCTTCTTTCCTTATTTACGATTGTGCCTTTGTCGTCTCCTTTTTGTGAATTGTGACACATCTTTATACGGCACCGGATTATTAGATAATAATGATTTAAACAAAATGTGAAAAATTAAATTGGTAAAATAATCTACTCACAAAGGAAGGATGTTGTGACGACATGTCCCTAATTTTTCTATGTAGTTTTTCCTCGAGTATGTGTATTGATGATTATGCCCTTATTGGCAAAAGATGTGGGACTTATTTTTATCGCTTTCCTTTTTATTTATCGCTATCGCATTTAAATTGTACACGCTAGTACAAGTAGACGTAGATTTTAAAGTGTAAAAATATCTACTTCAGATAGATTTCGATTTCCTTTTACTGTATAAAATCTAAAAATCTATCCTTTGATTCCTTTTAAACCTATCCCGTGCAGTGCACTTCCCCCTTCATTATTCATTGTCACCTATCTCATATCTTTTTTATTTTATGTCCCCCTATCAGAAAAGCAAGCATCTCTCTCTTCTCCTTCTCCCACGCCACATTTCTTCTTCTTCTTCCTCTCTGCAACAACCATAAAACACATCAAAACTCACGAACGTGACAAACCAACTACACCATTGTGATCATCTCAGTCCCACAATCACAACCATGTCCTTAAAATCTGATGTAGACGAGTTTTGACTCACCAACTCGGAAGGTCGACTCGGCAAGTTCAACATATCGATTTTCAGGTCATGCATGGCTTAGGTAAGCCTTAAGAAACCCTTAGAACCTTCATTTTACTTCTATGGGTTGTTATTGATCATTTGTTTGTGTTTAGAACGTGTGGTTTTACCCATAAACTCGAGAAAAATGAGAACCTGAAATTTTTCATGTGGCCATTTGGTCACTTTCAAACCTTTTTTTTTGTCAACCTCGACCACAACTGGACTTCTTCTAGGTACAAACTTGTTCTCTACATTCCTAACCTCAAAATGGCTTTTGAATCACTGAGTTTGGTTAAGTAACGAGTTAGAAATCAACTCTAGAAGTTAGGAAGAAAATTTTAGTTTCTGGAAAATTTGTAACCATGGTCGTTTGGCCACTTTCAGGCCAAATTTATGATTAACTCATATCATATTCGAACTTTCTGTAAATTGGGATCGGTATATCACATTCCTAGCTTTAATTTGACTTTTGTAGAAGTGAATTTGGTTGAGAATCGAGGTCTTTATGGGCTCTAGAAGTTGGCCCAAAAATCTGCAAAACTGCAGATTTTCGCGAAGAAGGCGAGTACAATGTACTCGCGGGAGCGCGTAGGCACGCGTGGGTAGCCACTTTGGGCGACGCGTGGGGGCACGTCCGGCCTCCGGCCGGCGTGTGGTTGACACGTGTGTGTTCGTGTCATCGAGTAGATCAATTTTATATATTTAAACCCTAAGTTTGAGCAAACTATGAGGGTTTTATTTAGGTTTCCGTTATATACTTTAATTAATGTTATTTAGTTATTTCACATATAGGGGAAACTTATTCCGAGGATTTTCGAGGCCAAGCTAGACTCGGGGGCTATGACCCAGCGACGTACTTGTGAGTGGGCAGTTGTTTTATACCTATATATATTTATAGTTTCCATAAATGCGTATTTACTTCACTTTTACGCCTATATTGCCTAGTATCATTATTGTGATATAAATTGTGATAAATATTGCTATGTGGTTGTGATATTACTTTCATGGCATTCATACATACTTGTGTACATGCTCATCTTACTGCACCCGGTGTTAGTACTCGCCCCAGGGCCAGGGCTAGTCCTTCACGTGTATGTTCATATCGCACCGTTTGCTCACCTTGAATCCAAGTTTAGGTGCCAGTCTTGTCGGGTAGATTGCATTAGGCGTCCGACTTGTATGTGATGTGCTTTTGCATCAGTCTTCACGTGATTGTAGTACTATAGCATATTGATTACACCAGTCTTGTTCGTGTCAGAAACCATCTGTTTGAACTTATGTGTCAACTTATATGGATAAGCACTTAGTTATATTGATTATCACATGATTATTATTGTGGCATATGATACATCATTTACTTGGCATATTTCTGGTTATATGGCTGATATATTGGATTTCATACTTACATAGTATGTTTTGAGGAAACTATACTTGTTTTACGGCGATGGGTTAATATATTCAAAGATAAAGGTTTTCTTATAAGCATTGTTTTGCTGACCCACTTAACTTTGTTTTTTGCCCATTCAGGACCTAGATAGTTGTACTATCTGTGGCACTCGAGGAATCACGGCAGTTCTGACATTTCCTTCTGTTTAGACGTACGAACTTATCACTATTATGTAATAAGTGTACTTTGGTTGCTTTGACTACTCTTTCGTAATCTCACTGTTTATTACGCTCTGAATAATTGTAGTGGGTTCAACCTACGAATTGCGCACTCTTTCACTGTTTAGTTTTAATTAGTTTTAATTTTATTCACTTTTTGCATCACTTACCCTTATGATTACGTCACATCACGGTGATGGCCAGCATGCTTCGACCTTTCCAGGTCGGGGTGTGTCAATGTGGTTAATCTCTATTTTTTCGAATATTTGAGTAAATCATTATCTTCTTATCTTATTTTACCTTTTTAATTTTCAACATTTTATAAATTTATTTTTTGGATTCATCAAGCATGTTTGATAGTTTTATACTTTTGTGTGAGCTCGAATTTTGCTAGCGGCATTCTTTTTTTAATTTTTTTAATATATTATATATTGCTTTAATTCACGTATACTAAAGAGAGAGGATCAAATTTAGGATTTGCATGACATGAGTAAATACTTTTAATAGCTTATGCTATAAAAGTTCATTTTAATTTTCTATTGTGTTAATTTTTTTTTAACAAACAATATTATCTACACTAGGGATAGATGATGAGTTCAGCCTCACAATGAACTAACAATAATAGGGTTTAAATTTACCTTTAACAAGAATCAAATCTAAAACTTCTTACTTTACAAGTCAAAACTATAATTTAATCTAAATATTCAATCGGAAAGATAATAGATAAGCTGCGACTGAAAATAAAATCCACATAATTCCGAGGATGATTTGGTCTTTCGACAATTCTGGATGAGAGGGGGCTCTCCCAAGTCGGTTTCTATTTTTTTTGTTGACTTTGACTGTGAATGACTTTTCTCTATGAACACGTTCGTGCAACCTTTAGCAAGAATCAAATCTAAATTTTTTTACTTTACAAGTCAAAACTATAATTTAATCTAAATATTCAATTGAAAAGATAATAGATAAGTTACGACTGAAAATAAAATCCACATAATTCAGAGGATGATTTGGTCTTTCGACAATTCTGGAGGAGAGGGGGCTCTCCCAAGTCGCTTTCCATTTTTTTTGTTGACTTTGACTGTGAATGGCCTTTCTCTATGAACACGTTCGTGCAACCTTCCTGAAAAATAAAAAATTAATGTGGTAGAAGACGATGATAGCCCTACCAAGTTTTATGCACAATTGACACCGTTAAGGGTATTATGGGACTTTAATGCCATATAATCTGAGTTGGATTAATGTCTTTCAAACTATAATGCATAAACAAAAAGACAAAATGGGGTAAAAGTAGAAAAACTGGGAAAATAAAAGGGGTGTTTTGACAATTTGGAAGTTGACTCATTCACGCTGACTGAGTGCGGTTGTAATCGAATCAGGCGATGACGGAAGCGCTTATGTCAGCAACATCAGCTTGATTAGCCTGATTAGGTTAACCCAATGTGAAACAATGAATCCGTCGATGATCAGCTCGTCCAACCAAACTCGATTTCAACTTAATTTCAAGAAATTTCACATAAATTTCAATATATGTAGTTATGGTGAATTTGATATGAAATCGTAATTTGTAGTGCATGAATAAACGGGTTGATGTATTGGAAAATTCTTATATATTACAAGAAGTATATCTTTAATTATAGATAAGTTTCTCTCGTTATTCAATAAATATGAATATTACGGAGATCCTCTTAAAAATTGAATTTTTCATGAATTATCTATCACCATATAATTTAACGATAATTTTAATGCTAATATTGTAAAATTTTATGATAAAACATAAGATGATCGAGAATTTACTTTTAGCAAGGCACATTAGCATTTCTCTTCACTAAATAGTATCATAATCGGAAATTAATACCCAACACTATACAGCCACGTGGCTGTGTGTTATAGTGAAACATAAATTAATTTTTCATTGTGTAACTCGCACTATTTAAGGGAAAAAGAGAAGGGATCAGTAAAATTCCAGAAGACAGGGGAAAGGACATGACATGTGGTCGTTTGAGCACGCGACAAATAGGGAAAGGAATTTGCTTTTAATGAGTCAATGATTGAAAAGATGAATGACAACTCCAGCCTCCATTTTTGAGGCTGCAGAAGCATCAACCACCAATTATTTCAGTTTTTAGTTTAATTATATGGTTGGTCTATCCAAAAACTATCCAAACCACCATGGGTACAGTTCAATAATTAGATACGACTTTCAAGTTCGTATTCTATATGGCATGTTCTGGATTCGATTCATGATACTTGTGAACCACACAATAGTGGTTAGAAAAAACTAAAATGTCTTTGTGAGTCTTCTCGATTCCATAAATGTAGATTGATGTGGCAAATCAACCAACTGGTTGCCTTTTTCAAAAAAAAAAAAAAAAAAAAAAAAAAACACACTCACACAACTATGCAATGTAGTCTCCCATCTTAGTCAACACCTTCCCATTGCTATATATATATGCATATCGGGAGTTTGATGTCTTATTGTTAATATTCGATGAGATTAACGGTTCGATGTAAAGTATATACTCTGTGAAAATTAAAAATTAAGGCCCAATTAGAAAGTTTTTGGGCTTTCATTCGAATTACAGGAGCCTCATTAAAATTCTTATTGGGCCCCCAAGGTTTGTGGAATGTTTGGGATCAATTTGATATGCTGT